AGTTGAACACGTATCATCCACGGAAACGTTTCAATCGGGGAGATATTTTCCAATCAATATAGGCTAAGTAAATTGGTATTTCCCCCAGAACGTGGAATCCTATCTGCCATGATAACACTGCATGAGACAGAGATTGTGAACTTGATTTGTACATGATCACGTCGAATGTCTTTAAGAAATGCTCTGTTTTAAAAGAAAGGAAGTTTATTGTATAGGAATGCCTGATGTAGCAACAGCTCATGTATGCGAAGTATTTTCTGACTTTTAACGTACAATACCTCGAAGCAGGTGAATGCAATAGTTTGTCTCGCTAGACACGCTCTGAAAGGGAAGAAGCATTCATAAATTTGTCTGTATACATTTATTTTGAATTTTGATACTGATCCTATGTTATGCATCTATACCTTCTACGTAGAGGTGTCGTAGTCGAGTGGTTTAAGCACTTGACTTGAAATGCAAAGGTCGTGGGTTCGATACCCGACACGACACGAATGTCCTTTGTCAAAGCATTAATCTACCTTTGCCACTCCATACCCAGGAGAGAAATGGGGACCTGGTAAGGATGATACTCCCTAGGGAGTGGAGAATGGTGCATATTGTGCGTGAATGAATCCGATGACCGGGGTAATAATATGTACATAATATAGAGCCAGATTATTATTATTATTAAGTCACATGATCAAGAAAATTACAAAATCGTTTTCGCATTTATATTCAAGTTAAGAACCGTTTACAGAATGGCTTCCCGATATACCTATAGTTTTGACAAATTGCAGAAAATGAAAACATCACGCATTATCATTGTCGGATAAAGTCAAACCTGCAAAGACCACCTGTCTACAAAGGCCACATTTGTTGTTTCTCTTGATAATGGTTTCTCATTGAATCGTGTATTAAAGGAACCTGTCTACAAAGACCACCTGTCTACAAAGGCCATATTTTGTGTTTCCCTTGGGTGGTCGCTACAGACAGGTTTGACTGTATTTGTTTTCATAATCGAATATTATAAACTGTGCGACAGTCTTGTAATCAAAATAATTTAAACGTTTTTTAAATAGCAAGATAACCACCCCCTAGAAAAGGAAATATCGAGATTAATATTTCTCTGGAATCTTAATTGTTAAAAATAGAATACAAATTAAGTTTCGTGAACGCTTTCAGAAAGAAACAAAGGCTATTTTCAAAGCAATGGAATCACGCTATAATATTATATATCATTGAAACATGAAATGAACCTTTGCATTAATAGAGGAAAATTATGTAGAAGCCTTACGAAATATCTATTCCAATAACCTCGACTAATGAGAAAAAGACGAAAACAAGGCTTAAATCAAACACGGACATTAGAGGATAACTATTGACTGTCACTAGGTAACTTTGTGATAAGTACTGTCTAATTGTTGAAATATGTCTGTCGCGGTGTAGCTAAGGGATGTACATAAGGGGTAGTACATGCCCCAATCGAACGCCCAAGGAAAAAGAAGACAATGAAGAAGAAGACGAAGAAGAAGAAGAAGAAAGAAGAAGAAGAAGAAGAAGAAGAAGAAGAAGAAGAAGAAGAAGAAGAAGAAGAAGGAGAAGGAGAAGGAGAAGGAGAAGGAGAAGGAGAAGAAGGAGGAGAAGGAGAAGGAGAAGAAGAAGAAAAAGAAGAAGAATGAGAATAATAATAAGAAGAAGACGACGACGAAGACGAAGAAGAAGAAGAAGAAGAAGAAGAAGAAAAAAAAAAGAAGAAGAAGCAGTAGAGGAGAGAGAAAGAGAGGGAGAGAAAGAAACGGTGGAGGTGAAAAAGACGATAAGAGAAAATAGGACCCAATCCCGAACCCTCTTAATCGGTGGCCTTGTAAATTTGTTTTTGATTCACTGGAAAGGCGGACCCATGCTACGCCACTATTTATTATCTGCGCGGGAATACCCCTGGTGACGAAAGACAATAAGGTCAATCAAGCTGCAACTTGAATATTGTTTATTCAGAGTTCATTCTATTTGCATAATACAGTGTATTCCAATCCGTCACTAATTGAATACCACATACTGTTTGAACAGAGAGCATTAATCGCCCCTCCCCCTCCCCCGATCAAATATGTAAATGTCCACTGCTCCTTGGCAACAGAACAGGGTGGGGCATTGACGTAGGCGCTAATAATTGGAGGGGTTCATGGGTGAGAATGATCAAGATGTATACAGGTTAAATAATTAAGATTCTGTCTGTTTTTGGTTGTTCAAATATTACCGATAGATGATATCTTTACCATTTATTTGGCTATTGAACACGAGATGAGTGGGAGCCAAACAGATTAAAAATACTTCACAATTATATTTCAAACTTCACTTCACGTCACTGTAATAAATTATAAAGTAAAAAAAAAAGACAGTGAGAAAGAAGAGAGGGAATTGAAAGGGAGAGAATGGGAGAAAGAAAGTGGAAAAATTGGGAAATGGAATGAAGAACAGAAAAAGAGGGTGAAAGAGAGAAAGAGAGAGGGGAGAGTGGAGAGAGAGAGAGAGAGAGAGAGAGAGAGAGAGAGAGAGAGAGGGGGGAGGGGGAGAGGGATAAGGAGAGAGAGAGAGAGAGGAAGAGAGAGAGAGAAGAGGGGGGGGGGGCATCGGACCTAGTTTGTGTGGGTCCTTAATGACATCATAATACATATCCAGTGGTCCCAGTCACACACTTTGGTGTTAGGATTATTTTCCCCTTACAAGTAGGCTTCACAAGAGCTAAGACCAAAGCCAAGTACCAGAGGAAGGGGTCTGTATGTTCCTACGAACCATTGGTTCTATCAAGGGACTGGTCTGGTTACTTATTGGTCCTACTTCTCATCAATCCTTTCCTTCAATCACAGACAAACCAAACCTAATGAATAAATGGGCAGGACAAAAAAAATTCCCATTTTCTCCAATGAGCACATGCATTATTATTATGCCAAAAGACCCCCCCCCCCCCCCCCTCAGACTGTTTTGACGTGAAATTTAGGAACAAATTGTACAAGAAGGAATAATGAAAATTCTATGACGCATATAAATCTGAAAGGAAAACACAATCTGAAGGCCTTTGTGTAATGTTAATCAGTATAATAAGCTCGCATCTTTATTTCTATCTTTCCAAAATTCTCAACTAGCACCGCATGTGAGAGGTTAAAAAATAAAAAATAAAAGAAAGAAAATGTGTTCATTCTTCGAGAAAGTATTAACATAAAACTGTTACCGTCGCATACATGGTATCTAAATACACTGGACATGATACACAAATACATCCTATATTTCATATCGTTACAATACTCATGCCTATATGACATACACAGTGGTTTAAACAAGTATCAATATTTACAATACAACAAAGGTATAGGTACACAAAACATTATTCATGAACTGACTGTGAAACACTTATGATGTGCCCATAAAATACTAGAAGCCAATTCTATTGCATATAACACTGTGGAATATCAATCAAAGCATGACTTTGAAGACAAAAATATGGGAATCTATTTACATAAGGACTTTGTGATATACTTATTCTGTCTTCTACAATAGACAGTGCTTGTACCACTATACTATATGATTATATAAGGATCATTATATACACACACAGTTACACATAGCTTTAAATTCAAATAGAAATGTAAAACAGTAAGGCTTCTCATTTGATACCAACTACAGGAACTTCTTTTTTCAATTTGAAACAAAACAGGTGATAAAATCATCACCATATCAAATTCCAATTAATTCCATTTTTAGAATACCTGATTAAACATGCAAAATTGAGGTATGCATGTCATAATTGAATACTCCGGCTAAACCTACGTTGAAGTGTATGAATACATGCTGGTTTCATAAGACTTGCGTGCTTAAGTACATAAACACAACAAGTGAAAACATTTGAATTGAAATCTATACAAATCACATGGAGAAATAAATCTTCCTCCAAGTCGAATTAAACCTTCCTACAGCATCCTTTATCAAAAACACCAATAATTGAAGGAACTTCCAAATTTGTTCTTTAAACTCACTCTAAAAGTCAGATTAAAAACAGCAGTGTATGGTTGACATCAGAGCCACCTATACACAGAGTTGGACATCCCAGTTTGAGTTGGGCACAAGGTTTGCTTTTTGTTGGCTAAGCACAAAGCAAAATTATATGCTTTGTTGTGACCAACTGATACCAAGTTGGCCAAACTCTGTGCAACGATGGCTCTGGTTTGAGTTACGTAGAGTTAATATAAAAATGTTATTCAACAACTCTTGCCGTTTTTTTGTTAATGTGACTTTCTTTCACCTTTATTATATTACCATTTAATGCAGGCACGATACGGTCGATTTACCTAACACTATGTCATAGGCACTTAAATCACATATATTATAATATGTAATCATATATGTTTAATCATTACACATCATGATTCAAAAGTGTACAAGTTAAATCCATTATGCCTCACTGTTTTTCAGCATGTGATAGAATGCAAGATCACAGGGATTAAAATGAGTAAATATTAATCGCAGAGAGACTAAATATATGTTGAATAAATGTTTGAATAATGGTTAAGCAAATTACACAAAGGTCATGAATACTTTACAAGAAGAAAGCCAAGTAAACATTCTGCTGTCAAGAACTTCTAAATGAATTGAATTAATTAAATATCATCATATTCCATCTATTGCCTTTTAAAAAAACACCTTCTTGAACCATTCGTCTTATTAACTTTTAAACAATGTTGCTTTAAAAATCTGATAACTGCAGGAGTAACATAATATACAAAACATTCTGATTGTAGCAAAAATAAAAGAAAAGATTTCAAAAAGGAATGAATATACCTGAAGAAGTAAGAAAGCCAATACATTGGAATGGTAATTAAATGGTGTGCAAGATTATTCTGTACTAAAATGAAATGGAGAATACAAAAAGTGAATATAATTGAAATGGGAATACAAGTATGAGACCTTTTATTTCAGTGGTATCATTTTGAATAAACCTTCTCCAAACTTCAAGCTAGGATTTTTTTTTAATACTCTTTCAACAACAAAAATGTTTCACTTGGTTTTACAAAAAAATAATTTCAGTATGCATTGTCAGCCATGGTATGGAATTCAGTGAAAATAATGAAATAAAACCAATTGTTCTTTTAATCCTTTATTTGGAATGTTTTTTTTTAATCTCATTTTGAATGTAATATTTTGTTCAAGTTGATGTTACAACTCAACAAATTTCATCACAAGTTGTATTTCAAAGATAATATTAATGTATAGTATTATCAACAAACAATATTCCTTTTCCAAACATATCAAATATAGGAATGTGAAAAGCATGAAAGAGAAAATGAAAATCAATGATTTACTTACATGTGTATTTTGAAATGTAATCATTACAAAGAAAAAAACACCATCTGTTCTAAGTGAACGATGTATATGTATATTTCTAGCAACTTGACAATCTTTGCATATTTTGGGGTCCGTGTCAAATTCTCAATTTAAGACAGACAGGTTACAAAGTGGATCATCTTCCCATCATTGTTTGTTTGGGCTAAATAAAACATTTTTTTTTCTAGAAAGATACATCTCAAAAGTTAAATTTTTCTTGAATGAAAATTTGTACTCTTTGAACTGTGTAAATATGGCAGAATCAATGGGTTTTTAAACCAACATAAAATAATGTAAACCGAAAACCTATTTGGTATAAAACAAAACTGGCCCCTGCTATCAATCTCAATTTTAGCACATTTTTCTTTTTAAAGGAGAATGATATTCAGTGTTATTCACAACAAAAATAATTTCATGACAAGTTAGTAGCACTATTATTTTTTACAAGAAGGAGATGATAATGACGCATTAAATTAGTTTTATGACAAAACTCAGCAACTAGACATTCAACCATGTGACTTTCTTTCTCCAAAGTCAATAAACAGATACACCTGTTCAGCCTTAACCAATTAAGATACAAAATTCCTGATTATATACCATATGTACAAAATATAAATGTTTCTTCTGTTCTCATATATGTTTTTTTTTATTTGTTTATCATAGACATACATTTACACCATTCACATTATTTACATATAAAAACTTGTCTGGTATTGTTTGTAGAAAACTTTAACAAAAAACTTCAGATTGCACCTAAAATTTGTCATGTTATAAGACATGTCATGCAATATTTATCAACTGACACATGTGACAAGTTCATCCAAAGGAATTTCTGGACCTTTGAAAACAGATACTGGGTATTTTGGAACTGGCCATCTCTATGAACATACTGCCTACTTTAGCATTTCAAAGCACCTCTCTATCCATTTCTTTCCTTTAAGTTCTAATTTGTTCATTTTATTTCAGCACCACCATAAAAAGCACAAACTTACTGCATTTGGTCAAATATTTGGGAATAATCAATAAAATAATCGATATTTGTATAATATTATTCTAGAACTTGTTTCAGACTTTTAAATAAATTGCATAAATATATGAATAACACCATTAAAGTTTCTCTTGCATGGCTGTTTTAAAACTAGCGTATTACTTTAAAAAGAGATTGTTACAATCCTGGCACAGGGAATCGGAGTCCTCATTGTATAAATAACTGATGATTGCATATTACAATAAACGTACCTACTGTATTCTCTCCCATTGCATGGCTACAGCTAGGTGTTTTCAGGTTAATCCTATGGTCGTCTTTTTCAACCAAAAACTAAATATACCAAAGCTGTCTTCAGCTTAGTCATTGAATGTGATTTCTGTTTACTAGTAGTTTCGCAAATTGTGGTTTGCTTTAATAATTATTCTAAAAAATTATGGTGGGTCCCCACAGATAATTGCAATAAATTGCTGCATTCTGATCTCTTTGAATGTATATATATATATATTGTACATGAAATTGACATGCAGGTACAAGTTATACATGGAGAAAGTAATATATATATATATATATATTTTTTGTGTACGTGTGCAGATTAAAATCATATCTTTAAAATTCATACATCAGTCAAGCAAATTGTTATACATCAGTTATCCCTCTACTAAGAAGGGTGTGAAAAAAGAAACATTTCTGCAACCATTGTAAATTAAAAATTTGGCAAGTCCACAAGTGCTACCCAGTCTGCAAAGCAAGCTGAAACATGTGCATTCTAGTGTGTTCATGTGCAAAGGCAGATATTCAATAAAAGTTATCAACATGGTAGATATTTTTGTTAGCACTCTTTAACCTAATGATAGCTAGTATTTATTCAATAATCATCATGTCTTTGACACTGAAAATCTAGTCTAGGTCAAGCAGCTTTAAGAGGGATGAGGGACAAAGTTGACGAGAGAGAGGGCAGAGTTGGTCCTATCATTGTTATCAAATGATGAGTTTCTCTTTGAGTTGGTTGTTTTTCACCACAGTGCCGTGCTGCTTGCAGTAGAGGTGGTCATCAGCGATATCCAGGTTCCACAGGGTCAAAGTTCGGCTGCATTCGCAGCACTTCTGACAAGTCCGATGGAAGACGCGACCTTCGAACTTGCTCGACTCGTTGGGGTAGACGGCCTTATCACACACCATGCAGCGATCGATCTTGGGCTGGAGGGGCTTGCGGGTGGACGATGTGGTGGTTGATGTCGAGGACGATGAGGGATTAATGGACACTTTGGAGGGTTCGGTTGTCGTTCCCGTTGACCCGCTGGGTTTGTTGGAACTTGTTGATGAGGGCTTTGACGGAACCTAGGCAGCAGGAAAAGTATGAGATATAGAAGATTAATGTTTTTGTTTTGACTTGAAATTAATGAAATTAGAGGTCCAACCATCATTTATGTGTTTCAGTTACGATTATCATGCATTATTAACAGTCACTAGCTTGTATAAAATACCAGCAGCATATTTACAAAGCAAACTCACTCTGAATCTCTCTAAAGATTTACTATCCCTCCCCTCCACTTCCCCCTTCCACAAACAATGCCCTCATGTGATAAATCTGTGTCACGCAATGCAGACTATACAAACAATATGCACATTCCATTTACCTACTCAAAGTCATGCAATGTACACATGTACATGTAATTACCATGCATAACATGATTCAACATGCCCTCGCAGTCTGTTGAATGTCATTGACATTAATTTTAATAGCAAATCATTTATAATATTGTAATGATCAACATAAGAATTAATTAATTAAATTGGCACAAAGAACATGACAGGGGCATCAATCAAATATTGTTTGAGGGGGTGGGGGCATGTTGGAGCATTTTTAGAATAAACTGATGGATATAGTATGGAGGGTATTTTTTTCTAAATAATGCATTTGCCGTCCAATCCTAGCTGCATATGCTTTTACATCCTGAAACTTGGCGTTGATACTATATATCAAAACATATATTTGTGATTATAAAATGATACTAAATGATTTTGATATTCTGTTCCTGTTTCAAATTAAAAAAAAGATATATTATTAGTTGTGTTAATAACACATCTCATTTCCTCTTTTGTTAGTGTTGCAGCTGCTCTTTCCTTAATTGTATTCATGCCTTTAGAAAACAACAACAACAACTAATCACTGATACTTGAAAAGGCAGTAATTCCTTCTGTGGTACCTTATATCATCAACCCACTGACCTAATACTTCCCTTAGATTCCAGCAAAATGTTATCTTGGGCTTGCATAAATAGTATGTAATGGTTTAACAAAGACACATTCATGTATTTGCATGACTGATTGCAAAAGAATTAATGAGACCTGATTTAATGTAAATGTTATGTGAGGGGCCTAGGCAGGTGGTTATACAACACAGATTTACTCCAGCAAGAATTACTCTAGCTGGGTCAAGACCCTACACTAACTTTAACCCTGGACCCAAAGCTATACCTAACCCTAACCCTACCATTTAACCTTACCTAAAACCCAATTGCAACCTTCACCCCAACCCTAAACCTACAGCTTTGACAAAATATAGGCTGGAACAATTGTCTAAGGAAAAAATGCCAGTTCACCACACAGTACCGGTATTTCCTTTAATACATTCTAAGCATAAACTGTCTTGCTAAATGTCGGTGTGAGCATATCATTTTTGAGGTTCTTTTAATCTTAATCTAATTGGTATTTCCTCAAGTACAACAGATAATGCCCTAATTATGAGCTTAATATTCAAAAGTTAGATAGGAATAAGATCATCAACCATAAACCCAAGAGATCCAGACAAATCTAGCCTTTGCATTTAAAAGCAATGTACCAGATTAATGTTGGGAGTATGAGGGTTAAGAAGGGAAGGAGTGGTAGTCACTTCTCTACCACATGATCTCTGTCTTGTGACTCGCTGTCAGTGCCAATTACACTAGCGAGATGTGTTTCCAGTCTTCCTCTTTCTGTCACACAATGTGGATCCCATGTCATTGTCAACATTCTACCTAAGAGCTGAGTACACCGCCCTCTAACTGAACTTGGGCAAAAATGGATTAACCCCATTATGGGGGCTTGTCTTCCGGTCTTATAGTTGAAACTATTGTTATGGTGGATATAAGTCAGAATCAATGTGTACATGTATGTGTACACCCTCAATTGAAAACACAAATACCAGAAATGAGATTTGATGAGACAAGACCTACTCATAATTCGAAGGGGCTTGGGGCAATTTTACTCCACATAAGTGAAATACTATATACCGGTACATAAAGGCCTTGTAGGCCTCCAAATAGCCCCCCCCTTCTGCACATTCCCACTTTTATTTATCCTTTATTTTTATCATTTAACAATTTGTAAAGGGCCTGAGGGGATGTTCAGAGACAAGTTTGTAAACATTATTTTTTTTCCATTTATATTTGTTTATTTTGAATGTTCATCTAAAATACTGCTAATGATAGAACACAAATATTCATGGAATTTAGCATGTATTTGTGAGTTTGCTGGCAAGAACAACATACAATATATCTACTAGATAAGAAGCTACTCAAAATAACTTAAATAAAGTTAGATTTCCTCTCAAAATGCAGTTCTGTTATTAGAATCCAAGATAGTTTTCAATCGAACAGTGCTCTCAGAATTAATTACTACAGGAAGCGATTAAACTATGTTGAATTGTAGTAATACAGAATCTTCTTAATCTACAGGTAGTGTTAAGGATTAAGTTTTACTTAAAATGTCATTCTAATGGGATGGGATTAATATTTAGTAATTCTGGGCTTAGTATTCAAACGGTTTACATAAATACAAGCTCAAAATTGGGTAGGAATTGCAGCCTATTACGGTGAAAGGTTAAAACTACAAATGAGAATTAAAAAAAATAGAAAAATAAATCGGGGCCGAACCCTTTGGTATGTTATCAAGCCACTGGAAAACATACATGTATGTGTATTTGACTTTTAATGCACCACTAATCAACCCTTAAAAAACACACTCAAAAATGTTCCCAGCATTTGAAATGTAGGGCTCACTTAAATTGTGGTTTCTAGAAACGAGACATGCATTTCTTTATATTTTGTCTCTCTATTCTTGTTGTTTGCAATTTACAGGTGATTAAATAAGTAAACTAACTCTCCAAGACAAAACCTAACATCTTGGACAAACTAAAATTAAACTTAATAGATAAGCAAATATGTGAAAAATAGGACCTTGTGTCGTATTGACAGAGAGGCTTTGCTCTCGTTATGTATCCTACATTGTACAATGGGGTGATGTCACCAATTTTCTCAATCTGATCAAATTTATTTCATTGTGAATCACTGCATCCATTGTGTTCAAGGAGCATTTTTTCCTCAACATCACTAATGGATCATTTAAAAAATAAAATGCTTCTTCCTGTTTACTTCGAGAGCAAAGTCCCCAAAGTTTGTACAAATCTGGAGATTACAAAACATTTTTGTACCTAACTTGCATTCCATAGTTTTTCAATGCTTGAATCTTTTGCATGAATATGCACTTCTTATTAACCACAATCAGCAGTGAAATACAGTAGTAACAAAGCCATTCATTCTGTATTGTATGGCTTTGTTACTATTAAAGGGATCGTTTAACAATGTTAAATAATCTGAGATACAAGGTCCTACATGTTACCAGTGTCTGTGATATGGTGTAATATTGAAGCCCTAAAAAAATTGTGCTTCAAAATGATCAAGAAGTGCCTCAAAAAAATAAAAATCTTTGAGTGACCGGTTTTACCATACTCGTTTTCCCCGATAGACTCTAGTGTTATGAAAACCGTTCAGCGAACGGTTTTTAAAATTTGTAACTCCAATCATTAATATCTTGATAATCAGACAGGCGATTGGCTTGTAAAAGTCATGGAGTTCCTGACTGACCTAAAGGTTTATAATTATCATTGCAGCATGAGCTAAATCAAGGATTATTTCTAAAGGATCTGAGACAAAGTTACCAGATCCCTTTAAAGGCAGAGATATTTTTCAGGTTTAGTTCCTCATGTTTAGAAGTAATCCCTCTTGAATTATTTTCTTTCAATCTGTGAAGAATGACATCCAGGGTGACTCATGCAATGCTAGCATTTTCCCAGGAAGTATTGCCACAAAATAGCATTCCAGTTAGAGCGGGAAGAGTGAGGTTTCATCGAGAGATTTGGAAAAAACAAGACCGGTGAGGTGAGAGAGGGAGAAAGATGCAGACAATGAATGATAAGAGAATGATGTGAGCACACGATTAAAGCCAGATTATGGAGAGGCAAGAGATTATGGCGTTGAAAAGCTGTACTGTACATGAACAGGTAAAATAAACATTGATACTAGAAATCAAGGTATTTCGCCCCAAAAATGGCAAATGCCAGAAAACATTCACATTTCCTGCAAAGTCATGATAACAAAATAGTAAAGAGAAAGATTTACAAGTAAATGCAGATAATTAGTACATACGCATATAGAAAGATAAAAAGCCACTGAACAGACAAATAAATACATTGGATAGATGGAGGGAAAACATAATCCTTTTTTCATAATGATTGCGAGCGCCTAACAGGCCGCCACCCTAGTCTTGTTAGCTCGTAAGCTTGTATGCATTGAAATTCTACACCATTTTGTTTCAGCACTCGGATTAGTTTGCTGTTAAAGGGGCTTTGTAAGAAACAGATACCATTAACACACATTTGTAATTAAGAGCTCATTTTTATTGCAAAGCTTATATTGAAGTGGCAGTAAAGTTTTTGCGTTTTATTATTTCTTACCACATGTCTTTCTGAATTCTCCACAGATAAATCCATGTCCTGACAAACAGGCAAATTGAAGTAAGATTTTTTTTCTCAATTAATGCAATTTTTAAGACAAGTAGACAGACCCCAAATCAAAACAGACACATAAAAGATGAAAAGGCAATATTAAGTAAGTACACATTAGGGCAAATTAATGGAGAAAAGGATAGATTAAAAAAGAGGTAGGTACACGTAGGTACAATAGATTTGTGCATTACATGCATAGACAATTGATTGATATATAAACTGATGGATAGATATAATCTAGTAGGAAAGATGGTTGGACTCAATAATAGATTACATGCACTTAGACTGAAAATACAAAACAGGAATGAATGTGCAAGCAAACCAGAACATAGGAACTCAAGGGAACATGCAAAATATTTCAATAAATATTTCACCATTAATTTTGTATGGTATCCATAGGGCAGAACGCCCTTTAAGTCTATCACCCCCTCCCTCACCTAACTCCCTACTCAACATAAACACGTGCCCGTTTACTAGTGAAATCTTTTATTCAATCAACTGAAAGTTTCTGATGATGTAATTTGAAGGAGGATGTAGAAGAGCACAGGGTGAAGGTCTTCATCAAAAGATATTTGGGAGGATTAAAACAACAAAAACTGTGCATACATTCTATTCATGTACCCCCCCCCCCCCCTCCCCCTGCAAAATTTGATGACATTCTTTTTCTTCAAAAATTGACCATGCTCCTAAAAATTGATTAAAGAAATTCCAATTTTGTTTGTTATTGTTTTTTAATTTTTACTCTTCTTACCCCCCCCCCCCCAGCGGAAGACTTCTAGATCCACCACTGTTTTTTTAAACAGGAAAGGCAAGTCATAATATCATTAAAAAATAAGAAATTATCCTAATCATCTTCAGGTTATTTCTGGCTGGCTGTTCCTCGAATCCGATCAGACAGATCAGACAGAAATTCAATTTACAAGTATTTTCGGAGTTGTAAATTATGCAAGACACCCTTTGTGTTTTTAATTAACCCACATTTTGCTTGTACATAATTGAATTCTAGCACAAAAGGATTCGCACCCAATTAATAGAATTGTGAACAACTTGTATCTATTTCAAAGAAATACTATAAATCAGTATGCCAACATAAGGGATTTGAATTTTAGTGCTATGATTTCGGTATCAAAATTTCTTTGACCAAAAAAATGTACAGACCATTTCCCTCATTTAATAAAATGACCCAAATCTTTAATATGCACAAAACAGACTCATGCACCAGGCCCTTATTCCAAAATGCCTGCAGACCATGCCTTAGTGGGTACCACCTATACCTCTGGTCTTAGGCTGGTCTACCAAGTCTAGTGTGTCAGTTGTGGAGGAAATATCGTCTTTCACCTTTGGGGCAAACTTCTTAGGCGAATCCTTGTTCTCGATGTTACTGGTCGAGGCTGGTCTCTGCTTAGAGGGGCTGCTTCGCGTCCCGACATGGGCTGTTAGGCCCTTCACTGACGTCTTGGTGGCTAGGTTCTGGTACCTGAAGATATTGATGGGAGATAAAAAGAATTCACAAACTTTTTAAAGAATACATCTTTTTCTTAAGAAAGGGTCGTGCTGTAAATATCTACATGTACACATGTAGTAAGTGGACTATCAACTCCAAAGGTCTCGTAACCACAGGTTCAACCGACCTTTACTCAACCTACTGTGCCCCTATAACATCATGACAAAGAATCAACATGTATTAAATCATTATTCCTCTCTTCCAAGTCGATTAAGAATAAACTAAACAGTTAATTAGATTAAGTTTTCATAGTTGGCTTTAATTAAAAGCATTAAACATTGTCATAAAATATAGAATTTGTTCTCCTTGACATATAAACAGAAAATTATAGCTGATTGCATAGTCTGGGAACAAGATTAGCACAAATTGGATGCACATGTTTGCTTAATATCAAAAGTGGCATAGAAGTTTATTGCATATGCATGTTATTACACCATGGGCAAGTACAAGATTTTTTGTAGACGTTAAATTTGTGATTAATGTCTTAATCCATACTTTCAATAGAATAATGAGCATAACTTGACATAAAAAGTTAAATTTACTTGATATTTTAAACTCTGGAAGGTTTATCATCTAAATACAATTACAAAGTAAAACAGAATCTTTAATGACATTGTACACATGTGCTCATTGTCTCAATTGGCAACATTGGGCAAATAACTTGGCTTGCCCCAAACCAGTAGAGCACCATCTCTTGTTAAAACCAGTATGTTATCACTCATTTCTTTGTCCCTTACTTTGAGATTCTGTCTCTGAGACTGACGGGTTCCTCCTTAGACTCTTCAACTTCCTCTTTATCTGTGAAGACCGGTTCCTCCTCTTCGTTCCCATCTTCCTTCTCCTCCTTCTTCTCCACTTTCTTCTCTTCCTTCTCTGACAGCTTGGTGTCTGCTTCAGCTTTGGTCTCCGGAACTGCCTCGATAGGTTGACTGGATCGCCTCGCTTCTGCCTTGTGCGTACCGTTGCCATTGACAACCCCCTTATTGCTTGATTTGGTGGGCTCCGTACCAGCGGGGATTCTGGCTTCGAAGAGAGCCTTGCTTGCAGCCACACTCAACCGTCTCTCCTCGACGGCATCCGCCTCTTCCTTCTTCTCCTCCACGTCTTTCTCCGTCTCTGCGCTCTCCTTCTCCACCTCCTCTTTCTTCTTCATCTCAGGTGGTGGTGGTGATGCAGCAGCTGCATCCTCCTCCGGGGCTGTGGTCTCTACCGGTGTTGTTGGTGGTACGGGTGTGGTAGGGGTGCTGGGCTTCGCCTCCTTCTCAGGTTCCTTCTTGGGATCATCCTTCTTGGGTGGGTCATCCTTCATGATGATGATGACCTCTTTGGGAATCTGAGGAAGGATCATGGGCTCCTCCTCTTCCTCCTCCTCCTCCAGTCCCAACTCTCCCTGGGAGTTACCCTCAAGGGTGGACTTCAGGTCATCGGAAGATGGGGACTCAATGATGACGACGGGTACTGCATCTTTCTTGGGCGTGTCTCCCTTCTCCTCATCTAATGAAAGAAACAAATATATTTTGCGAAATAACGTATGACATTCAATCAACAAAAATATACATATATCATCTGCTAGAGCCAGAAGGATGTTATACTCTCATTTAGAGTTAACATCCTTTATGCACCCAGCAGAATGATAGAATCAAATCGTAAGGTGCTAGACATGCACTACTAAATTATAATGGGCTCAGGATGGGTGGGTTTTAAGGTTCCAAGATATATCGTATTTTCAAAGTAAATTTCAAAATGCTGTCTCAATCATAACCAAGATAAAAATTACCGATAATCAGTTTTAAATTGATGCCTGTGTATCTCTGAAATGATTTTCTCTACAGCTTACATGTTGTATCATACTGAAGTATGTTTAGGATGACTAAATACAAGAAGATATCCATGTAGTGAGCTGACAGGAAAAGACAACCCAATTTGTTACATGAACATGTACATATAACATATTTGTCATTTATCATTTCATCTACCATTTTTCTATTCTACAGAAAAATCTGTTAAGAATTACCACGTTTCCAGCCTTGACTATTCAGCTACATTATTATGAAATGTTGCTCCCCCCTCCCCATTTCTGTTTCTGACTTTGCAATATAATCAAACTTCACTTATAACAAGTATACCATACCTGCCAACATTTGAAAATGAGAATTAAGAATTTTTAGCACAGTATGTCTTAAAAAATAAGAAATCTGTACCCTTAACAGGCGTTCGCACATGCAGCGGCAGTGTAACTGGCAATACGCAGTAAATCTGTGCAAAAAAGCGAATACAAATTCGCTACTCAATCATGCAGCCCTTCAATGCTCGCAATACGTGAACTCTCACATCGCGGCATATGATAAAAACAAGCTTAATTTGGCTTAGGCAAAAAAAAAAAAAAATCACAATTTTGAAAATCCAGAATATTCCGGATTTTGGGGTCCTAAAAATCCAGAAAACAGAATATTCCGGATTATTCGGAAGTGTTGGCAGGTATGGTATACTGACATGATAGCCACTGAAAAGTGAACTGTCATTTTACCCTGATCATACAGAATGATATCTCCTTCAACCATTTCTCCCATACTGCTTTATTTCAAAGCGCAATCAAGTCAGTAATAAACGTGAACCCCACTTTGCAAGTTGATCTTAGACCGATACCTAACCACCCAAACAAAGAGGCTTGCCAAAGCTACCCTTACATTCTCCCAGAACGACTTCTGAAGAAACAAAAACAACAACATGCTAACTACTATAGACACATGCTATGAGATGGTAAATGTACTATGCATGCTTTAGTTGGACTTATTTTGATAGAAAATTCAAGTTTCATAGAAATAGCAGCTTGATGAGGTAGGAGATTCCATTTGGAGGCTTAAGCTCACTTACCTTTACTGCAACTCCAAATCCAAGTTACATCATACAAGAAGATTTTGTATAATACAAACCACAATCAATTTTTATCTTTTCTTTCAGTAACCAACTCCATGCATTATTACAGATGAGAGTATTTGATGCTGTACGAATTAGCTGGTTGAGCAATGTAGATAAGAATCCAGTAAAAGCCAAGCTTCCAACGTCACCTATCCCAACCCAAACACATCCATTGTAGCTTACAGTTACAAACTTTACTCATTCTTGCTTATGTTCCATGATGTATTTGATGAACCTGATCAAAAGTCTTTTGAGGCTTGATACGGACACAAAGGAGGGGGGGGGGGTGTACTCAGATTTGGTTTGGAGGGGGAGTGCCGCTCAAGTCTCGAACCCCTACCCATTTTCAAGGGTCGGTTTTGGCAGATTTTGCTCAAAATATAGGCCCATTTCCCACAATTTTTGGGTGTTCGCCATGCAAATACCCCAAAATATTGGAAATGTTGGAAAAAAGGACCCATGTTTAGTGATATTTTGGTAAAAATGGGAACCATTCTAGGATTTTTGTGTGAAAAGCGACCCATTAGAGCGGCACATCCCCATATCTTTTAATATGGGAGTACCCCCCCCCCTCCATCCTCCCGGATATGGATGCCTTCTTAGTTGTTAGTATTGTTAAAAATGCTTGTCCAACTATTTGGTATTCCGTGGTGTAGGAATAGCCGAAGGTGGGGACCTATAAATGACAACTACCTTGACAAAGTACATACAAGCAACTAGTCATAGGCCTGCTAGGGCATATCCTGGCTAAATAAAACTTGATCTCTATTCTCTAAACCATCTCTCATCTTTATGAGTGTAATAAACTAAACTGACCTCTATAAGAGAATGAGTCAAGAAGCATCTTAAAAGGAAAGTTTAGCTTCAATAGTTTCAATCATCTACATGTAAATACAAGGAATACCTTAGTACAAGGACATTTCGAAATGATAATACCACTTATGCATTTGTCAAGGAGTAGCCACTAAAGATTAAATATGCAACCATCTCTTTTATTTTTTCTTTCAGGGACATTTCTGATAATTATCCCTTCCCCTAAATTCGTACGATAAAACAGATCTCCTTTTCAGAGTTTTCAAATCAAATCTAAATCCTCAGCATTTGGGAGAATGGACCTGAATACCATTACCATTTACCATTGGGAAATTGGGAAATCTGTGCCAAAGTGTGTCTTAAATGATACCCTCTTTCACAATATGATACAATTTAAGTGAAACTTTGCCATCAAATTTTTGAGGCTCCCAAAACTTTAGAGGAGGTTTTAGTTTTCAATACTGACCTGACCAATCTCAAAATGGCTGCACCGAGCTATACTTGACTGTACTCAAAACTATTCAACATTCTCAGACACCGTACGCGAGAGCTCATTAAGTTTGTCTGGGTTACAACCTTGACAATTAGTAAATGTCAAGATCGATTTTCGACCTAATAATTGACTGGGAGACTTCTTGCCATGAAGTGCAAGATAAGACCAAAGGAAGTCTGCGGAACAGGTACATGTACCGGCCTCTGCATGATTTTGAGTCAGTGTCCCTGTCGGGTCAAGGTCAAAGAAAGTAAGACCACCAACTTTTTGTAATTTAAACCACTCTTGTATAAGAAGTAGAACTAAACAAACAACAGGTGTATCCCTCTCCGGACAGAATGATATCATCTACGGTAAGCGGTTATTGTTTTAACACTGTGTTCAACTGTATGCCATCAAAGTTGGACTCTGAAATCCAAACATGGATGCATAGTATGAAAAAAACTCCTGGGGGTGTTTCACAAAGATTCTAAGTTGAACTTAACTCTTAGGTTGGACATAAATATTACGGAGAGCCATTTGTAGCCTTATAATGAAATACAACATGAAAATGAATGAAACTAAGAGTAGATATTTTGGGGGGTAATTGAAAGATGAATGCTGGATGAACATTTTCTAATAAAATCAGATAAAAATAAAGGCAATTTATGAATTATGATGCAAGTATATGTAAGCTATGATGCGGCAAATGGAAACACTATTTTCATGGAGGCAATAGAAATTAACGGGAAGGAGACCAAAGGCAATTTACAATAGTAACTCCCAAATCTCTTATGCATAGAATGGCCATGTCTAATTTGGCTTTAAAAGGTAGCCCTTGAAAATAAACTCGTACTTCTTATCCTAAAGATACACTTCTCCTAAGAACAAATTTTTCTTGTAAGCTGATCGCATTCATTATTTAGATACATGTTCTGAAACAATGATATACATGTTTATTCATTTTCAAGAGTTGTATGAATGGTAATGATGACAAAAAATTATTCTTTTAGAAAGCGATGAAGCTGTGATTGCAGGTGATGTTGATGAATTGCCATTTTTCATGAATACATCTTCAAAAGGAGGGGTAGCTACAAAACTGATTACTAAACAATAGCTTGTAACCTAAATAACCCACGGTTGTGAACATCCTATGAATTAATTTTAAAAACACTTTGATCATGTTTGAAGTCCTAACCTAAAGAAAAATGTCATAATTCCACGCAACTATAGTGTAGTGTGTAGTATATTTAATTTCATAGTCTGACCAAAATAGTTCCCTTTGACAAAATCTTCCTCTAATAGGTCTTCATACAACACTTCCTACACGTCATATTGGTTGATATCAAATTTGACAGCAAACTATATTTTTATTTTTGTCTCGTACTATACCATATACCAAATGGCCATGGATTTATAGGCTCTGCATGTAAAATGAAGAGAATATTGCAAGGGTTTGATAATCTTTCAAACTGGACAAGTCACTATCACCATAGCAACCAAGACATCCCACTCATGTCAATTAATCCTGTGCTAGCATTACCTATATGTTATTTTTTCCAATCAGCAAAAACATAACCTTGAACATGTCAAAGTGGTAAAGCCTTCAGGTAGCCCAATAGCGGAAGTATTTAATAAGCCCTCCTTTCCTTTCCTTTTACAGCATATTGCTCATTCCCCACTTGGAGATCAAAATCAAGGTTTCCGATTAAAGCTCCAAACAAATTCTAACAAATCTTTAAAGGGTTTATTCGAGGATGTACGTTGTAGTATTTGCAATCAAATGCTTGAGTTTTAAACAAAATTAAGAGCAATAATCAATGACAAAAGGGAGGATTTTTTAGTAATGCTGCAATTTTTCACTTTCAAGACCATGATGAGTGAATTAATTTTTTTTAATGTAATTTGAGGCGATGCAAATACAACTCACTCAGCAGGATTTTTGTTTTCTCAAAACAATTTCAAGACACACGTATGCAGCATTTTTTTTTTTTTTTTTAAAGACAAACTCTGATTTTAGGTGAAATGTGACTTAATGTAATAAGCAAAACACTCGCTTAGCAGAAGTTTGATTCCTTTTTCAGATGCCATGGCCCCAGCTGATAATCTTATAAAATCCCTAAGAATCTTCAACTGGATTGATGACAAAGTATGGAAAGGATTTGAAGAGCTTACATTGTATTGGCAGATTTAAACATACACCAAGAATCAGTCTAAATAGCAACCGTATTTCCGAGAGAAAATTCTATCCTGATTCTCCTTAAAGCAGTGGGAAAGGTTGGAGGTAAAGTAAGGAGTAAATCATCCTTACAATGCTGCTTTACAAGATGATGGACTTTGATGAAACATTTTCAAGAGTAGGAAAAAAAAAGAAATTGAGATACAGGAACAAGAGGCTTGACAAAAAATAGTTTACAAAAGTTTACTAAAGAAAAGAAAAGAACAAGCACAGACAATTGAGATAGATGTAATACAAAAATAATACACAGATAGGGGGGATACTCTATGATTTGCAATGTACCGGTATATATTTATATATTTGACAATTAAGTATTAAGATTAACTCAAATTTTTTGTCTATCAATGCTTTATATTGTCAATGAATTTATTTAATATGATTAATTTTGTTTCTTTAATAATGTATCGGTATCACAGAGAGACAAGCAAAAAAATTAATAGAAATAAAATGACAGTAAGCAATTAGCTGCTTCTGAAAACATAACCATACAAAACCTTGCGTAAGTTTAGGTTCATTTTAATGTTTAGGTTCTTCTTCTATAACAATATAACAAAAGCCTGCTTAATCTTCTATTTGTTGTTATTTAGTTATGATTCATAATTTGTATAATTGTGTACATTGTTTGTAATACCAGTGAGCAACACATTTCCATTTTTTAGTGGACAATAAATCAATTCATGAGAATCATTAGGAAAACTATAAATTTTGGACAAAGCACCTGATCTTACTCTTTGCACAAATCATGAATATTCCCCCTTCTGCCTCATGATGAGAGTGTTATTGACTGCAAGGCCATGCATGCTGATGTCATGATTCTAGGGATGGGAATGGGAAGAGGGTGCACAGAATTAATGGGAAGACGAGACACACCTACTACACATGGATGTTTGACAGAACACTCTTGATTTTCGTACGAAGTTTGTGGCACAAATTCAAAACTTTTTTACCTTCACAGGTCAACTTGACGGAGCCCATTACAGAGTCCTCAGAGGGCAGCCTTCCATTGATTCCTGGATAATTACTATCATTAATATCATTATCATCATCTTTATCCGTATCCATGGCAACGTGATCATCCGTCATGCTCTTTACTGCATGAGCGGACATCTCGGCTTTATCTTCTTTCACAGAGCTACTGAGCTCATCATCCTTTGTAACCTCTACTTCATCTTCCATTTTAGCATCCTCTTCCTCTTCTTTCTTCTTCTTCTCCACCATCATCTCTTTACCTTTCCTCCTCCTCTCTTCTGGTGGACTTTTCCTAATCTCTCCTTCAACACTATTAATCATGGCTGCAACCGTTCCTACTTTCACTCTTTCCTTCTCTTCTTCTTCTTCCAATTCTTCCACCGACGACTCGTCCTCCAGGAAGTCGTCGCTTCCCTCCTCCAACTCCTCTCTCATCTCCTCCTCTTCGTCTTCCTCCATGATCGTCTCCACCCCAAACATGTTCTTCCCCAGATCCAGGGGATCAGGAAGATCGACTAGGAGATCCAGGCTGGCGATCCCCAACCCTTCTCCCATCTCTCCATCTCCTTCGCCAAATATATCAGCGTCCATCAACCCTAAACCATCTCCCTCGAGCTCGAAATTCATCTCACCTTTCCCTTCACCCCCTCCCACCTTCTTAGTACTATCGGCTTCCCTTAACTTGTCATCATCCCCAAACAACGCTGGGTCTACATCTAGCAACTTATCTATATCTTCGTGCCTACCCTTTTCCCTTTTTACGTCATTACCGTTCTTTTGATTTTCTATCACATCTATCTTACTCTTGTCACTTACACTCTGAGCTCCCTTGGTGGGAAATATTGCACTATCAGAGGGGAAATCAGAGTTGGTGGATAGAATATCTGTTGCGGGTGTAGATTCTATCTTCCTACTTCTACTACCTTTGGGGCCAAACGGGGGCAGGGGAGGGAGGACCATGGGTCCCAGGCCCTTGCCGGCCTTGGGTTTGGAAGAGGAGCCATTGGAATGTTGCTGGGTGGAGCTCATAGAGAGCGCCACACCAGGGAAAGGTAACTCACTGTCAAGGTCTAGAGGGGTGGGACTCTTTGTGGGGGTAGTGGGCTCTTCTGCTATGGGGGAAGGGGCATCATCAAGTCGGCTGCTGGACCGCTTCTGTAGAGAGAAAGAATGAGAGGAAAGAAAGAAGCAAGATGAATTATTAATATACATTCCACACGTTTGTAGTCAACAACAAAGAGAGGATTGTATCTTATAAAAATAAACATTATCCAAGTTATAACAATAAAATGCAGCGATTGAAAAAAGGATCTGAGACATGTATTTGCTCTGCGACATTTGTTCTGGGCTTCTTTTCTTTTGCTCAAAGATATTGTACTGTAGCTTGTGTGAAGATTAAGGTTTAAATTATGTGTAGGGTAAGGGTTAGGAGTAGAGTGAGATATACATATTGGCCCTAATTCACAAAGGAAGGTTTGTCGACAAACCAGGTTTTCGTACGTCATATGACGCGTTTTGACGCGTTTGTCGACAAACCTCCTTTGTGAATTCGGGCCATAGTGTTTGATTAGGATTTCAACAAACAATAGAAATTGACTGTAGAATAAATGTCACATAAGCAAGTGCCTTCCAATCATCAACATAAAAATCCTGGCCCTTGTTATTCATAATACATTTCCTTCTCTATCTTGACCTACATGTTATTATATATGCTGTCAAGAACAACACATCACTAAACAGTTATACAACTAAATCATTCATACCCTTACCAAGTTTTGTAACTTCATAAGCAGTTGATCTGTCCCAATTTATGTTTCAGTTGTTTCTAAGTATGTGACATATCAAAGCTTACATCTGAAAGTGTTCAACAAAGGTAATGATTCAACAGGTCCACCTGTCATTCTTGAGTTACGAGAAGCACCAAAAAAAAATCAACTCTACAAGGGGCATGACAACTTCAGTCAACTGTATCTGTTTCTTTTCAAAGTATTACATTCATATGTGTCATCTTGATAGATCAACAAGGGGCCAATCGTGAGATTCCTTCCCCCTTCTAATCTTTGACAGGATGCAGGTGTAGAGCTGACAGGTTCTCCCACAAGCTTGTAATGTACACTCCGTAACAATGTCAAGCAGTCCACCTTTTATTCTTGAGAGGGGGTATATTATTGTGAGACATGGAAACCAACTAAAACTGAAATGTTGACTCTTAAAAACTTATAGTAAATCTTCTATAAGCTTATTTATTCAATATTGCTTTTCTGATTCTGATTAAGTTACTCTGTTCACATCGATGTATATTTCATATGCATTGTAATTTGTAGGTTCATTTACATTTTCTTTTTGTTTTGTTTAATATGTAATTGTTTATCAATGTATTTTGTTTGTTATAGCGCTCAGAGACTTCAGTGGTAAGCGCTTTATAAGCCCTGTTTTTAAAATTTTTATATTATTATTAATTTGACACAGGTGTAAATAGTACTACTGCAATGTTAATCTGGGATGCCAGATAGCATTTTTTTTAAATAGACAGAATCAAAAATAGCTGAGACCTTCAAAATGGCTTGAGAGTTGAGACATAAGATCCCTTCCTTGTCTATATGGTATCATACGATATATACCAGAAATGTCATACTACTGACAGGACGATGACAGACTACTCATTGAAATGTCTCTTCCAATTATAGAATTTTGTAAGGAGAACACAAAAATAGATTTAAAGACCATATCAAATTATGAAAGGACAAGTTCAATTCAACTACCTGTTTCCCTCATGAACAGATTTTCAATCGTTCGTTGGTTTGTTTTACCTGACTGCTAAGAAAGCATGTGTATGCTTGTAAGTAAGTAACCGGGGGACCGACAGCTTTAAGTCCTCACCGATGGACTTGGTAATGGGGATTAATGCCATACCAAAGGGCACTAATGCATTGACTTGGCTATTTGAACCTGGATCTCCCAGCAAAACTTAATTATAAACAATTTTTCATATATTTGAAAAATAAATATTTCAAACAGTGTTTGTTTTATTTGGAATCTTGTTGTTTATATAATTTGTGACGGATTTGAATATAAATATACTAATATTACATGCAGATGTATAACCTTAATATCTAAAATATCTATTTGTATATCTATTATGACAGGGGAAATACCTCAACTGTCTAAAATGGATCAAATTAGATCATGGTTGATGTAGAATATAGCAGGCTCATGATACTGGCACATCAATATTTTGATTATTATTTGATTAATATCTTGTACATTCTAGTCATTTTTTGTGTCATATCAATGATAGTTACAATATAAATATACTCTACTGTGCTTAATACAAAGTACCATACTATTATTCAAGCTGTGGCTGAGGGGCTGTTATAAGGTGCTAAAGCAAGGAATTTTTTCCTCCCAGTTACCCATTTACTTTGCCTGGGTGGAGAGTGGCAAATGTAGATTAATGTCTTGCAAAAAAAAACGTTTAGGTCATATTCCTTTCCTCTCATATACTCGCTGTTAACTACTCCAAAAATAGCTCCATATATTTATAGCAAGGATATTAAGGGGCCCCCAAGACCAGCAGGAGTAAAAAGAAGGGCAACTGTGTTGGACATAGAGGGAAGGGGAGAGAAGGAGGGGGTGGGGAGGGGAAGATAGTTCTTCATTATATTGAACTGACACCAAACCCTGCACTGTGTGGAGCGTTTTTTCAGTAAATGATTTAATTTTCTTCCGGTACATTTTGTTTTTTAAATTAAGGCCCATGGGCTACTATTTGGCAGAACATATAACAATCAACAGAATTGGTGTCCATATAATGTATGTGGACCTTCTTTACATTTTAAATGAGGAAATATTACTCATTGTGAGATAACGTAACAGAGGTGAGGCACAGACAGACAGATTGAGGGGAAGTGGGGGGGGGGGGTTTACTGCTAATGTATACTTTCTTTGGGAAACATACCATATTCATAACATAACATACTTGTAGTACTAACTTACAGTTACTTTAATTTGATTCTTTTACCTGAAGGGACCTGCCTATAACTTAATAATGCAGACATTTATAATTTTCAACATATCTTACCCATATCATGAAACAGACTTTCTTTCTTCTTAGGGAAAAAAGGGAATTGATACAGGTCTACTACATGAAATATCACTACCTGTGAACCCACTTTCATTTTCTACAAGTAAAAGGCCTGTAAGGAGTCACAGTTTCTACACTACTGATGGGAGCTATGCAAGTCTTGTCCCAGACAGCATTACAATGTTATAATCAGAGCTTAATGAGATAATTGGTTTTGGGGTAGACAGAGAGTCAAGGTGTGGGCTGACTTCCTTTGTATTATTCAATTAACACATTTAGGACATTAATCTTTAAGCGCTACATTTATCAATTTAATTCACTCAATTAAAAACACTGGAATTTTTGTGTCATCGCTACATTTTCTATACCAGTAAGGTCATAAATCTGGAGAAAAAAAATATGTACAAGATTTGAAATTGTCAACAATTTTTTTTGGGTTAATTTCTAATTAGTATGATATTCTGAACTTCTTAAAGCTTATCTGCCATAGTTTACAGGAGGGATTAGACCTCCCTACAAGGTCACTGGACAGGTGGTTATCTCATCAACTCAGCTCTCAGTTAACATAAGAAAAAGAGGATCATGGGGGACCAATGGTCACCAATTAGGCATTGTTTGTTGAATAGAGGGCACAAGTAGTTACAAGTAGTGCAGTGGGCCTTTAACATGTTGCCAATTTAAGAACTTGATTGCACTTTTCAATTTAAATAGTCCTGGTGTAAAAAGAAAACCATTAAGATACAACAAAATATATGTGCAGAATTTGTTGGTCTTTCTGGTGATGCATGGAGTATGTTTTTTAAAGGGCTCTAAATCTTACTCGTGAAAGGCTGCATGGCCCTTTGAAGATTACTGGAAGAAGAAGAAGAATCAGAGTTTACTGTGCGAAATCACAAAATGTGGCCAAAATTGGCCTGGGTGGTTTAAATAGAAGGTTGAGTTCTGGGAAGAGGTGAAAAATAATTTGTGAGCATTACTCATTTTTATTATGCAAGTGTGGAAGAACATCAGTTAAGACTTCCCTGAAAAGCATGGCTCTTCAAATGCCTTCATATTCTAAATATGCATGTAACATCGTAAAAATCGGGGGCCGGCTTTTTACGCCATGTGTTCATGTAGTCCCATATACATCTTTCTGTGCAAGTGTTTGTAACTTTACCAAGACTTGGCCAAATTTCTTATCATTTTGATGATTCCAGAACCTTGCAATACACACAAATTCTTATATGCTAGATGATCAACCTTTTCTGGTCGGTTCCACACCGTTTCTTTCACAATGCAATCGCATGACCAGAACTCAACTTCATCTTTAAGGAACATATTGTTCTACTTGTACGTGTTTAACAGAGGTGAGAATGAAAGTTCAACGAGTGATTGGGCTAATAAGTCTAACTGGCTGGGGACTGGCCCCTGACAGTGATCGGACATGGGGTCAAATGGAAATTAGGCGAAGGATGTCTGATTATTGGCCTACAAGGGAACTGTAATAACTATGCTGTGGCAATTTGCATGTTATCTAATATTTTGCGGTACTTTAAAGATGTAAGCAGATAATGTGTTTTCTATGCTTGGAACCTGTTTTGTTTTGGGGGAACTTGATCTAGCACTAAAGGAGATGAACTTAATTGATAAAAAACATTTGATAATATACCAAAGGCAATTTCAATTTCCTTGTCCACCAACTATGGAAATGCACAAATATGTAGTGACATATTTATCTGAATATGATTTCTATGGGATATAAAATTGAGGGTTATTGGAAGTGCTCTTGAGTTGATATTTTGATTTCTCAGGTGTCTTTGAAATTATGTTAATGATTATTTATAATCAATTTGGAAGAGAAAAGGTTGCAAATTGTTGCAAAATTTAATCCTCTTGATAGAAAATGTTATTACCAGGGTGTTATTCACATACTCATATGTACATATCTATATTTGTGCAGATTCAGCAACTCTCTTCCTCCCAAAGAGAGAAACAAAGTTTCCCTTCTGCAATTCAATCATTGATTGAAAATTATTGATTTTCAAAAAACTGTGTGAATAAAATACATGTGTATTTTTATTCTAAAAGCTGAATAATGGAATACCCAGGGATTAGGAAAGACAGGACTAGATGCACTCTAAAATCTAGATACGTTCATGCACTGTTTTGAGCCAGAAGGGTGTTAACTCACATGAACAGAGTTAACTTGGTACATGTGAGGTACTAGTAATCACACACAGTGCCCTTTTGGCTCTGAACAGATCATTTTAAGACCTTCTTTGCTCTCATAAGTGGAAATATCCAAAATGCAAGAAGCATGCTCAAAATCCAATACATACAAGAATGGCATGAATTTTACCTGAACATACAATGAATGGAAATATCTTTTCAATCTAAAAACAATTACATTTGCTAAAATTTGTCTTACCTAACGTCAATACTTACCCAAGCAGTGAACCTCTAGATCAAAACAAATAATCACTTAATGAAATACATAATTATTATGATAAATACATGAAAATATAATTACACAGCAAGAGTATATGTGATTTTTTTTTTTTTTTTGGGGGGGGGGGAGGAGGGGGAGAAATTTACCTGCGGTGTCCGAGCACGTGCTTTTCTACTTGGTCTCCTGTTAGAGGGCGCCACAGATATTCTGTGTTTGGCCGCTGAGCTAGGGAGCAGATTTGACGTCCGGATTAGATCAAGGTCAACATCACCAAGATTTTCTGTAAAAATATAGAAGGTGTAATTAAATGAATAGTCTTCACATCTTGGATATGGTCAAATGTACTTCACATCTTTGCATGTAATGTATTTGTGAAAGTGTTGGCACTGATTTGAAATCAGAATTTAGAAAAGAAAAAACTAACATCAAATTTAGTGCACCACATGAGCTTGACTAAAAATATCCCTTTTAACCATCGCTTTGATATGGCAAAATACTCATGTACTGCCAAGGTTTACTACCTTAGTATTCCCTGCATGGATTACTTTTTACATAGGTAACCAGTCAGGCACCTGAGACAAATATTTAGGTTGCTCAATTCAACTTTTGGTTGTCATTCGCAGAAGGTTGTGCAAGCTTCAAATGAAACAGCTATGTATCTATTTTGAGACATCTTTAGGACCAGCCATCCAGGCATCAAAGACAGGAATTAACTAGAATGTGGCTTAACAGGATGTTACATGATCAAGTCCACATGGAACTTTATATTTCTAATTCCAAGCCGTGTTACTGTATATCATCTCATTTGGAGATGAAACAACAATTTGTTTTCCCTTCTATTTTCTGATTTATTATTGAGAGACTAATGGAAATAATCTTTTATTTTACATGAATATTTTCTGGAAATCAGTGCCATGTTAATAAAACATGTGAGTCAAATTGAGATAACCTACATGTATATCTGCCTCAATAAATATTTGGGCATGAAATTTTCATACTTGAGGAAAAAAAAACTGGATGTCAGAATGAGCTTGTACATGTCAGATTCCTGCACTAATTGAAAAAGGAATGTAATTTAAGTTACTTCCTTCAAAACATAGCGGTTCAAGATAAATGCAAGGGTATATTCAGATCTAGTATAGATGGCTGAACTCTTAATACAATATCCTTTTCAGGGGCCATGTTTGTATCAGGTATGACAAGCTAGAATAAACCTACATCATGTATGTACTTAAGGTTGATAAAATGGGTAGGTCAATTTCAGTTTCTAAAAATATGTAAATATGGATGCCAAATCAAAACTAACATTTATTCTTACTCCAAATATGTAAAATGAAAGCTGGTCATTGAAAGCAAAGGTTGGTGAGAGCGACAGGTTTAGGTGCAATACCCAATACAATTGAAAATTTGGCAGAATACAAACAAGAGAATTTATCCAATTATCACCAACATATGAATAACGTCTTTTGTTCACATTATGCTGGGAAGATGGCCAACTCAGATTAACATGAATACTAGGAGAGGCCAAAAGAGATATTGGAAAGGTGACCCAATTCAATTTCATCATTACATTCCAAACGATTTGTAAAAGCTCCTTAAGAAAAGTATTCTCCTCAAAAATAATTCCTTTGTTTGATTGTGCCCCTTGTTTTTCATCCATTGAAAGTTTAAGAAACAAAAGGTGACCCAATTCAATTTCATCATTGTATTGCAAATGATTTGTAATAGCACCTTAAGAAAGGTATTAGCCTCAAAAATTATTCTTTTGTTTGATAGTGCCCCTTATTTTTCATCCATTGAATCTAATAAAGGATTTCTGGCAACAATTGCGCATCATTCCACTGAAACCTGGCTATCCATCTATGCCTTAACTGACAATAAAAAAGTCAGTATGAATATTTCCAAATCCTAAGTCGAACTTAACTCTAAGTTGGACTGAAAGTTATGGAGAGCCATTTGTAGCCTTTAAATGAAATATATTCAAAAGTGAAAATTTTTAGACTTTTTACAAATTCCACATCAAGAAAATAATAATAGAAAATATGAATGAAACACCCCCTGGTCATGGTAAATGCACAGTCACGAGGATGGTGTTGCTTTACACAACAAATTTATCCAAATTCATGTAAATTTATCAAAGTAAGTACGTCTTGCATCTTAGTAATCCCGGCCATGATAAATGTATGACTGTAGTTAAGACCATGGTCTTGCTTTTTATACACCACACTCATGAACTTTGGCCTAAAAGTTAGATGCAAGTTAGTCTCCTGATTCTAATTGGTTGAAATTCAAGGTGCTTTCGTTTTTTGAACTTGTCTTAAATCTCAAGTTTTCTGAGCAACAAATCATTTTATGGCTGAATAAATGGCATGGATACAGGTTTTGGTCAACATTTTCAATCTTTAATAGATAATGCAAGGATGAGAATCGTTTGTAGAGAAGTTATAAACCTATCACTGTTAACAATTTAGATGATGTATATGAACTGAAATGTATTACGTAGATGAAGTCTAAGGGAGTCTCATGAACTTTAATTTCGTTGGCTGCATCCAAGAAGGCCATGATTTACTGTCGATGGCAGTAAACTAAAAGCTTTCGTTCGGTAAACTTTTCTTTTGGTAAGCTTTTAGAAATGTAAATCAGTTGCATGACCATGCATCTATTTACCCCCATATACCTGGAATTATGGCGCTATCCCTGAATAAATAGAAACAAACTCACCTGATTTTAATCTCTTCATGTCAGCTGTAACATGGTGGCTGTCCTTGACCCCAACGCTTGTAAAGCTCTTCTGTAGCGAGGAATAAATGTGGGTTACAGGCATGAGAACTACCTAACTCTTCCCAAACAAGATAGAAAAGAAAAATAGGGCACTTCCAACATGGAAGATTCGGACTAGTTGGAGTGAGGAATTACTTACAATCTGTTATCCTAGAACACTAATTCTACTGAAGTTCACTCCTACAGAAAGTAAAGAATTTTTTTTTATCCCTACCCCCGCATCCGCCCCTACCTAGTACCTACACCCTTAATTAGAATCCTAGCGTCTAATAGGTTATCTAAGAATAGAGCCCGCCACCGCTTTGAGGAGTTGAGAAGAGTGCGAGAGAGGAGGAGAGATGAGTTGATAATTGCTCCTAACTTCACCCAGCTAAACAAGATGATGTAGATTCAAAGAAGCAGACGGAAATTCAAATTTGGAAGTTATTCCAAGCATGGAAGGAACGTTGGAGATCCGCAAGACATGGAGAGCGAATGAAAGAAGGAATCGATCCAAAGATTGAGAAGCGATTGAAGATCATGAATGAAGTTTAAAATCCAATGACGGAATTAATCACAGATAATAGAATTAATCCAATGAGCATCCGTGGAACTTAAAGATTTTGAACAATGTGCGATCACAGGAGGAAGGTGTCACGAGTCCCGTTTCCAAAATAGACGCAGCAACGTGAACCGATAGCTATTCCCAAGAGTGCTACTGCATTCGGTTTGCCAGTCTGCTAACAGAGCCCTACAGAGGTAAATCGGGCATGTCTGTCTTTCAGTGAGCGTCGAGATAAAGAAAACTGTTTTTTTTTACATAGATGGGATGATTCACGAACACCACTGAGGCCCTAAACTAACTTCCTGCCTTGCCTTGCCTTGCCTTGATGCCCTTGGCAGACTCGTTTCTCTGCTTCGACCGACAACTGGCCGAGGGGGACACTGTGTAATATTGCGCACCTACCGTCAACATGACAAGTGTTGACCAGTCCATTATGGCTCTATTCTTTATCAATTGACCATTATCACATGACTGAAAGTGTACCGGCTTCATCCTCCATTGTCTTCTTGAACTCATTGTAAAATATAGGAGTAATGAAGTTCTTCGTCTTATATCAATATCTGTAGTAGGTGCAAAGAAATTAGATTCCTACAAAATTCTTTAATTGTAACAATTAATGTTGACCTAATACTAGAAGGATTCTTTGACTGATTATACAAAAAAGTTTAAACTATTTGTGTAAAATATATGAAGCCCAAAAGGATATAATAGATATCAATTGCACACCTCACAAACTCGTCCCTTGATTTTTATCTTTAAAAAAATGCTTAGCTCAGAAACTTTATTTACAATGTTTATTACACTGTAGTTTTCTTTTCCCTAGTGTGAATGGGCCCAATTATGCACCGCTATTATTTAAAGGCAATTAACACCCTATCTACCTTTAACAGGTACACTCTACATGTATAATGAATGGCACTAAGATCACGATTCAAATTTCACTTTTCCATGTGTGTGAATGGGGTCTAATGTCCAAGGCAATGGATAGAGGACGACATTACATTCATATTCCAAAAAAAAAAAAAAAATCCTCAAGTGTGAATGAACCTAATGTCAAACTGGCAGTACATATCAACACTTTAGATTACTACTTAAGATACACCATACCATGTAGGAGGAGGAGGGAAGTATGAGCCATAAAGCAAAGCTGAATGGTGACAACAAGTGGGGGAAGTAGGTGATTAAACATCTTCTAAATTTGTCTTGAGAGCACTCACTGATCCTCGATCAATGAATTAATTACTTTGATGCACTTAGGGAAGGTCGACTTGGGGGATTGCGAGAGATAAACCCAGCTTTTCAGCAAAGGGGATAGGTCTCATCTTGAGAAACAAAGAAATCTTTGTTTCTAGGATATTATCAATGCTCTTAAAACTGGTACATGTATGTTTCTTTACAAAATGATGAGCAATCTTAACAGCTGAATACACAAACTGCTTTGGAGCGATTGGAAAAGGTCGATTTGGGCAAAGGGTCTGCTCTCAAGAACAAAGAAATATTTGTCTTAAAGGCCCACTGCACTACTGGTAGCTACTTGCGCCCTCTATATAACAAACAATGCCTAATCGGTGACCATTGGTCCCCCATGATCCTCTTTTTCTTATGTTCACTGAGAGCTGAGTTGATGAGATAACCACCTGTCCAGTGACCTTGCAGAGCGGTCTAATCCCTCCTGTAATCTATGGCAGATAAGCTTTAAGAAAATCTAGACTTTAGTACTTGAAAAAGAGAAATATATTGACTTTATCAAAGAATAAATTTACTCTTTTGCAGTTTGGAACGGCCTAATTCAGGATACCCTGAGAGAAAGCCAGCTTTTCAGCCTAGATAACAGCAAAGAACCCCCCCCCCCCTTTAGAAGGAAAAAAAACATATTGGTACATTTAATATTCTTTATTTTGAAGAAAAAAAGAGATAATGATTGATGAATAAATGGATTGCTTTAAAGCAATTAGAAAATGTCACTTTAGAGGATTTTAAGAGGGAAGGCAAACATTTCAACAAAGTGATTGGTACAAAGAAAGATTGATGGGGGGGGGGGGATGGGGGGGAGGTGAGAAAATCTGTGAAAGTTTAAGGCAGCAAAGTATTTGAATGATGTCCTTTTATCTTTGCAATATGCACAGTTATTTGTAAAAATGGTAGTCATTACAAATTCACAGATGTTTCTGTTTATAAATTGCTAAGAGTAGACAAGCGTATTGTGCATTTCCTAATGAAAACAATATGTGAAGATTAAAAGGTAATATACTAAGTAATTAACTTCCACATAAGATAATTTAAGCACATTTATTTAGCATGATTTCAAATAACTGTACGCATATGTGTACTTAATATAAGTATTACATTGTAAAACAGAATTTGAAGAGGAAGAAAACGTGGCAGGAAGTATTTTATGAGATATGTTTTATTCAAGGACATATTTCAGAAGAAAATCTATTTTTGAATTTAAAAATAAGAAACTTATAGACCTTGAGTTAGCCTCTCCCTATTAAGTCCATTTGTTACATTCATATCTTCGTGGGGCACATACATTTTTCTTAGAGTATGGTGAGGAATATGAGTTAATCTATTACACTGACAAAACTTGCCAAACTTGAAGTCTTTAATACTGATCTGCAAGGAGACTTCCGCATGTAATTGAATTACTGTGAAACATCACTATTTGTTAGATTCAAGGGTTGTGACAAATAGAAAGAGAGAAATCTTCACAGAGTGAACAGGACTTTGGGTTCAATTTGAGTTTCAAATCAGCCTAAATTTGTTTAACTCTTTCCTTTGTACATGTATGTAGCAAATCAAGAACTTATTGAGGTGAAAATTATAAATTTGGTTGCACTTTGTTCCTGATTTTCAAGACTTTTCCTTTTCATTTTGTTGCCAATTTGAGTAAATCTTAATGATAGATGAGTGGATGCTGAGAGATTAAATGTGTAATGTGAAAGATTGTAAATGCTGGACAGAACTTCATATTTATCAGCTCAGTTGCAAATGCAGGGGATAGGAGAGACAAACAAAAATTATGTTTCGAATTTTGTTTGTATTTGTTGTGATCAAATCGTTTTAAGGCCTTAGTAGCATATTTAGAAATATGGGGACTAACTTTCTCCTTTTTAGACATCACCCATCCCAATCCCCCTCCTTCCTCATTATGATACTCAAGCAATCCAATACCCTAGAATTAGTTGACTGAGGGTACACCTGCAAGTGCCTTTTCATATCAATGTATATTCATGGGGCTTTGGGGAGGGAGAAACGAACCTTCTTCAATAAATAATGTCTTATATCCCCTTCTTATCAGTCTCATCAAAAGTTAGCCTAACAACCTCCTCCTTTCCCCTAAAAAAATTTTAAAAAATAAAAAATGCTGTAACAGTGTCCCTAGATAACCTGTCAAAGCGTAGGTGTTCTTCCAAGTGAGTGAATTTTCTGAGGGTTTTTCAGGAGTAAGAAAGAAAAAAAAGAAAGAGTAAAAAACAATGCCCTTTCTTGTAACTGAACATCAGGAAATTTAGTCTGAAATCTTCTCATCTCCCCCTCCCCCTCCCATTTGAGTTTTAAAGGCTCAAGCAGTGTCCCTAGATCACCTGACGATTTGCAAGTGTTCTTCCACGTCAGGGTATACATTCCTAGGGATCTACGAGAGTGAGAAACAGAACTTCCTCAAAAAACAATGCCCCTTCTTGTACCTGAACATCGGGGAAATTTAGTCCAAAACCTCATCCTACCCCTCCCGTTTAAATTTTGTTTAAGGCTCAAGCAGTGTCCCTAGATCACCTGACGATTTGCAAGTGTTCTTCCACGCCAGGGTATACATTCCTGGGGATCTACGAGAGTGAGAAACAGAACTTCCTCAAAAAACAATGCCCCTTCTTGTACCTGAACATCGGGGAAATTTAGTCCAAAACCTCATCCTACCCCTCCCGTTTAAATTTTGTTTAAGGCTCAAGCAGTGTCCCTAGATCACCTGACGATTTGCAAGTGTTCTTCCATGTCAATGTTTACATTCCCAGGGCTTCACAGAAGTGAGAAACAGACCTTCCTCAAAAAACAATCCGCTTTCTATTAGGAAATTTAGTCAGAAACCTCATCTCTACTTCCCGTTTAAATTTTGTTCAAGGCTTGATCAAGCAGTGTCCCTAGATCACCTGACGATTTGCAAGTGTTTTTCCATGTCAATGTATATACATTCCTAGGGCTTCACAGGGGTGAGAAACAGACCTTCTAAAAAAACATTGCCCTTTTTTGTAAATGAACATCAGGAAATTTAGTCCAAAACCTCCTCATCTCCCCTCCCATTTAAATTTTGTTCAAGGCTTGATCAAGCAGTGTCCCTAGATCACCTGACAATTTGCAAGTATCAATGTATCTACATTCCTAGGGCTTCAGGGGGGGGGGGGGGGGGGGGATGGTGAGAAACAGACCTTCATTCCAAATTATGCCTTATATCCTGTTACCCTCTCCCTCATAGTCTCAACAGACAAGACACCTATTAAAGCCTGTCTGCACTAGTTTGGCCAGGGGGATTGGACCTCCCTGCAAGGTCACTGACAGGTGGTTATCTCATCAAATCAGCTCTCAATTAACATAAGCAAAAGAGGACCATGGGGACCAATGGTTACCGATTAGGCATTGTTTGCTATATAGAGGGTGCAAGTACGGTAGCTATAAGTAGTACAGTGGGCCTTTAAACAACAGACGGCTTTGCATCAACTGTGTCTTGTTCTGTCTCTTGAGCAATAGAGGGCTGTTTTGATTGATAAATAAACCTAGAGCTGAAGGTTTCAAGGGTTTAATTATCCTCAATGGTTTAAATGTCCCAACTGGTCCAATGATACAGAAGTATTCACTAATGGAACGATGGACAACATTAGCTCAAGGAGACTATGATTGAGCTCATTCTACAGCTTGCACTATGTTTTCATTTCTACAGGATCCATTGGAAAAAAAATTAAGTAGCTTCTCTCTGTAATGATTTCTTTAGCAGAAGGAGGCACTTGGCTGCTCAAGCACACCTCCACTGCCGACGTCTTGGTAAACCATATGTACCAGCAATAGAGGGCAGCATAGTGATTCTAGAAAAAGTCCAGACTGATTGTGAATCTTCAAAAAGACTACTGCTCTCATCGGTCTAGGAAAACTAAATATACACATGTATGCAGTAACTTGTCACATCACTAGCACTAGAGGGCAGTAGAACATTATGAACAATTTCTAGATTGATTAAAGAACCTTTGAGCTCCCATGGAGACTTGCAACATATCTATGACAAAAAGGACTTTTTAGACACCCATTGCTTTCCAAACCATGATCATGAGAGGGCAGTATGTTTGTTTACGATTGATCTGTTAGTGGAAGTGGATAGATGTAGACTAAAATAGGTTTAGATAAGAAATAGGAAGCAGATTAAGAACCATCTGATTGCTAAAATAAAATATTCTAGACCAAATCATAAAATGCACATACTTTCTTTTCTTATCTCAGTCTCAATATTTTAAACATAATTATCAAGGAAAGCAAATAATTATTTAATATCCCAAAACCATGAATGTTATCGATAATTTTTTCCACTACACTATATGAAACAGATCTAAAGTAATCATACGCATCTACAAATTTGAGTCTACCGATTTAAAAAAAATTATTGGTTCTGAATGATTATTTATTTGGTTTACATTTCAAGAGAAGTACTTTTCTTCTTCAAAGCCTACAAAACTAGTTCTCTAATTTGAAAGCCAGGTAGCAAGGATGAAAATCAATGCCTTCCCTCTAAAACATATACCACAACACAGTATGTGATTTAGCACCATGATCATGTTCTATCACATACCATAACTGTGCAGCGGTGGAAAAGAAATCCGAAACCCTTTCCCCGATCACATGCCGTCAACTGAATTAAAGGGAAATCTGACCTTAATATTCAAACTAATCTACTAGAAAGCAGACAATTCGTCGCTCGCATAAACGAACCGTCCTCTCCGCGCATTTCCAAGCGAAAGTCAGTTTTGTAGAAAACGCGTTTAAAAGATAAGACTTTTTGAAACGGTAATTGTTAGACTTTAGAATAGATTATATTAAAAATCAATGGGACTACCTGATAGCTTAGGTCTTAAAGTTTTATAGTGTGTTTAGATTTTCTTGAGTGGGAGTATTTTTGCTACATTTGGTTTGTAAACAGAGAGGACGGTTCGTGGAAAAGATAAAATGCACGATCACGCTGCGCGATTCCACCACGAACCGTCCAACAACACAAAAATAACTAAAATGTCATTTTTTTCAAAATGCACATTAAATTCAGGAAGGCTCTTTTTTTTTACAGGACCTGTAATGATATTATATTCATAACATTTCTTGAGTAGTGCCTGAAGGGAGAAAGCGCTTAGGAGAAGAAAAAAAAATCAGTTATATTTTTTACATGACAAACATGAGAGCAGTCCGTGCATACCTCACAATTCCCTGACCAAATTGCCAATTTGAGAGTCACATCCTGTAGACATAGTGGTCTCATATTTCAAATAATTATAACTTTTTTATTATTGGTCGGAATTATATGAAACTTTGCCATTCTGGTTCTCCTACTTTTCTGCTTTCATACAATCAACTCATCACGAAAGTTTGGATTGCTCTTTAATATCTACTGAAGGGGTTCATTGGATAGGTTACTGCACATGATCCATGTTTTGAAACATTAGTAACTGAATGTTAAACCAGGGGGATTAAGCAGATAACAGTAATGTAACCGCAATTTAGATAGGATTACACATTTGGGGGTATGTGATCTTTGATATGAAATCCTATAGTTTTGTTTATTGCCCTAAGGTGGCACTGACTTTATCCTCCTGAACATTATACATGTAAATGAACAGTGGAATCCAATTTTTGTTATGAAACTGAAAAGTTTTATAACAATTTAACTTGTGTTTCAACAATTGAGCAATAAGATACAATTTCTCCAGAGATATATGTAGGTTATTCTCTCTGAAAGTTTTTATCCCATGGTAAGGAAAAAAACAAAAAAACTTTGAAAAAGCAAATTTGAGAATTTAAGACTTATCTTACTTTGCAAAAGCTCAAAATATTTACAACCAACTCTATCAAGTGGAAAAAATGGTTATCGATATGAACAATGCATTAGATCTTTACTTTTAGATTTAAAGTTAATGTAAAGATAAGAAGGCGAAGAAATATGCACTTGATTCCGAAAACTAGAAATAATTTGTGAAAGAAATAGAAGGAAAATATTGCACCACAGCCTACTAAAGGAATAAGTATTTTTTTTTTTACTAAGTTAAAGAAAGTATAGATATAATAATGATTTCAATAGATATAGTTGTGCATAGACCTTTACATGTACATGTATATGAAATTCCAAATATTATTGAATAGGTTTTGCCTGTGTTTGTATCAAAGTAATTTAAGGTATCATATTATGCTAAACTTTCTCATGACTTTCCCCCATGAATTTTTGAATACAGATGTTTTGACATTTTCTGACATTTACACATCCCTAGAAAGTATTATAAATATACTTGAATGTATCTAACAAATGAGTTTGGAAAACAATACTTGTCTATTCCAGCAAACCAAATGTCAATAAAGGCAAACCGGAAGAAAGAGGAATACCCAATACTTTTCTGGCCTTACTACACAATATTTTACAGCACTTGCACTGTAATCCGTGGAAGTGAGCACTACAAATATGTACAAGTAATCTATGATCAGAGCTGGCTACTAAATTCTCTAATTTTTCTTTGTTTTCTTTTTGTTTCTTACGTAAGTACATGTGTGAAACAAACCGTATGCAGCTTTGAGAGAAGTAGTTTCTAATGTATGGTAGTAAAGACGATAAAGAAGTATAATTTTGATGATGCAGCAAAAAATATTAGTTTATTTTTACCCATCGACGATTCGTAATACGAGGCTTGGACATAACCTGATCCTGTAGAAATAAAAGCAGTAAGTAAATCTTTTATGAAATCGAAGTAGTACACCATTCCAAATTATCCTGTGAATTCCTGCAAAGATAAGAATTTGTTTGAAGCAAATTCATCTACAAAGAGAATGTAATTAAGGGGAAAAGATAGCTTACGGTAGTCATAAATATGTAACTTGATGAAATGGAATGCAGAAAAGATCTTTCTCAAGCTCTTCATGCACTGTCAAGATGCATTATTCATGCCATGTCAGATTCGGATTATGAAATTGAGAACAATTGTATGTTCCTTATGCATACCAGAATAAATATCATTCTCTTCTCTTAATTGCATAAAAATAGAACAATTTCTTTTATGAACATTTTGTGCAGCTGCTCAACCCTGTTTAAAAAAAAATACATATCTCTTCCTTGTTCTTATCCCTCTTGCAATATCTCTTTTATTTTTTACTTTCTCTCTCTATCTCTCTCTCTCTCTCTATATTCCTCTCTTTCACACACGCACTGTCACTGTGTTTAATGTGAAGGTGAGCCTGAGTGAGAATAAGAGTGTGGGTGAGTGATGGTGTTTATTAAGTGTGTGTCTCTCTCTCTCTTTCTCTTTTTCTTTCATGCTTTCTCTATCTTTGCATATATTTTTTTTCCCAGTTATGCTCTGTCTCACTATGATTAGGTGAGAGAGCAACTAAATGGCAGTAAGTGTGAAAGGTGGATGTGGGTGTGTATGTGTGAGTTAGTGCATGTACATTGTATGATCCCCCTTTCTCTCACAAACAGGTTCATATGCTGTCTTTCTCAGTTTCTCTCTCTCTCTCTCTCTCTCTCTCTCTCTCTCTCTCTCTCTCTCTCTCTCAATAACTGAAAGTATTGTAAAAAAACACACTTGAATCCAAGAGAGCAATAACCAAAAGTAAATCCAATATCAATAATATTCGTCATGTTCCCTAAAGAGGCTCTGACTATTAAATAACAAAAAGGAAATTTACTCTACTTTTACTCTCCACAACATGTAATAAACAAATATATAATTACATGTACCATCTGATATCCTTTAGCCTAAATGACTGACAAAACACATGTCAGCTACCAAATGAGGCCTCACATCTTAGACATGCATGTACTGAATATTTTTTGATAATGAATGCCAGACAATCTGAGATAAATTCATCTTTGAAAAAAATGAGAGCTTTGTTTGTTTGATGATCAGGAGAGGAAGGGGACAGGGGAAATGCATTCCGGAAAGAATTCAATGTGCACATCTTACAGGGATAGTCTGGGAATGACGCAAGCAGCCTCAAAAACATAATGGAGAGGGGTTGGGTCTCCGTTACTTATGGAGATGACAAGAGTTTGCAACGAACGAACATGGTTTAGAGTCCAAGGTTTGGTGAAGTGACAGAGGCAAGGGCATTACTTCATCGCCATTTAGAATTGTCATCAGCATAGTACATGAACATGTAAATACAAGACATTGAAGGAAGAGAGATGTTTAAGGAGGAGGAGTAAAGGAGGAGAAAGAGGGGGAAGATGGGGAAGAGGGGGAAGAGGGGGAAGAGGAGAAAGAGGGGGAAGAGGAGATGGAAAGTGGAAGGAGAAAAGTCACATTTCATAGAAAGAACTATTTCAACTGAAGACAGGCCCTAGCTGAGCTCGAGAGCTGTGCACTTATGGACTAATTCTAGTGTAATTTCTTTGCATACAACCACATGTGGCATGTGTCAAACGTTTCAATAAACTTTGCCCATGTGGGAGAAATTTGGAAGTTGAGCGATAATTAATTACTTCAGACATGCCTAATTAATCCCCTCCAATTAAAAGCCCTCCAGTTTCTAACCGATGCTGATTATTTTTGGATTACGTATCGCAAAGTCATCGGAGCAAATCCCTCAAAGGTAATGGCATATTGCTTACTTAATTTTAATTTAATTTCAATTTGAAATGGGAAGGAAAGAAAAAAGAAGGATGTAATTGTTTTAGTTAAGGATGATTAATGATATCTTATGCAATGATACAAGTCATCTTTGCTCTAGCTGTTTAACCCACTACCCCATTTTCCACATCCCCCCCCCCCTTTTTTCCCCCTCCTACATTTATGTGTGAAATACATGAAATTCAACAACAGTTAGCATACACACAATATAACATCAGCACTAAAACTCACATATGGTATGATGGGTCTACTGATAGTCTGATACTCTTTCTAATTGAACAAAATATGATCCCCTCAGAATTTGCAGACATAATCATTTCAATCTCATATAACTACATAATTAATTGAGATTTATCTACACAATTGTCTCAGCTGTTCTGCTCCGAATGTTTCTGAGTCACTGCCAAGGGAGGATTACTTTTAAGAACACAATTACATAAAGAGCTTATACAGTGTACCTAAAATTTGGTAAAGTTCCAAAGACTTGCACTTTTTCTTTGTGCATTTCACTTCTTACGTCAGCAATGAAATGATTGGCAAATAAAGTCAATTTTCAACACAAAAGTGGATTTCCTTTGTAATTTCCAAAATGTTGACCTAGACTTGTACAAAATGCCTGGGATGTAGGCGAGAGACCCATGTTCAAGTTCAATCATCGTTTCTATGATTGTTACAACATATGAAAAATGAATTTGTTTCTCATTTCATTGCTAATTCTCTCTGATCACATATAATTTCAGAAAGCTGCATTAATACCGGTTGATTTTACCTAGAATCACTGGCACAGTCAGCATAGTAATATGGTAATTCAAGTTAATTATCTAATCAATGTGTGTATAGGGACACACTGTGACTAGTTATAGTGGCTAGATTCTGCTTTGCACGGTTTATAGGATCAATTTGAACAAACCCCTCGTGAACTGTGAACCTGGTCAAGAAATACTGCATCAATGTTTTTGTTTTGTCCTCTCTCTATTTAATATTAGAATACTAGTAGAAGGTTTGGATTATTTGGGAGTGTGCTTCCTACGATTATAAGGAGCTACCAATGTGCTTGCTACGATAGACAGGAGTGAGGTAAGACGACACCTGTCCCTGGTGTAATGCAATCCCAGTTGCGGTTGGCGAGGTGACCATAGTCGAGGTGTGTGTTACCGCAAGGGATTTACAGGGGCGCAACAGTACTACCCTTCCTGTACTTACGCACAGTGTCCAAGATTTCAAGTTCAATTTTTTTTCTGCAGGAAAGGATTGCAGTCGGTTCACTATTTGCAACGCTGCATATTAATGTGATGCATTGCAAAGAGTCCTATGTTCAAACGTCTCATATATGTATGACCACTTTAGTAATTTGCAGGGTCCACAATATGGAGATAAAAAATGTATTCATTTTGCAACTAGTTCAATAAATTAGAAAGTAAAGAAAATCGTATAATGATAAGACTAGACACACAATGTCTAATGATCATATCTTTATCTGCAAAGCAATCATTATTTGAAGGATATATATCTTCATAAATTTAAATCAATGCCCTTCCCTAATAAAAGATTAAGACCTTATTAATATTCTCTAATTTAGGAAAGTCATGTGTAGGTGTATGGATTGGTAAAATAACATTTGGGATGCTCAGTTGTCATAGCAAAGTGAGAAAAATACCTAACAAAGTAGATACATGCACTCATCTAATTGTTCCAACCAGAAAGAGTCACCGAGTCCACCCCTGCCCCCTCCCCTATGCAGGAGTAGTCATGGGTGAGTACATGGGTAGATGGGGAGCTATTGTCCTAGAATAAAGTATGTCAACAATTATGATTCATGGGTTCCTTTGATATGACAGGGATATTTGGCAATGAGGATCAGCTCTCCAGATAATTCCAGATGTTGTGCTTACTCAAATTCATTTCGAACTCAGGGTATTGACCCTCAAAATAGAATGATCATATGGGATTCTAAAATGACTAAGATCTGTCAGTCCCACATGTGTGTTTTGTTGAAAGCATACATGTACTTCAAGCAGACATTCATGCCTTCCCAAGATGCTCTAGCTGTCAACATTATGCTCATAATCTAACAAGCAAAGCATGCTCAAGATGCACTTAAATGCTCCCACAGGCCATGCTGTTGGTTAAAGGAAGTTGGGTAGGGTCCATTATTCAGCTTTATAAAAAATCTTCATCAACAATAAACGTTCTGTGACGTCTTTTTCTAAATGTTGAGGCTTTCATCTGCTCCTTCACATGATCATGTACTAACCAATTTTAGCCATGGAGCTAGGAAAAAATCTCCCCAGATATATTTGAACCCTATATATTCTGTATGGAAAAGGAAAAACTTGAATAAGTCTAGAAGGAGAGATGACAATGGCTGAAAACAGGCAAAAGCCTAGTACACAATTGCACCCTTCAAAAAGAAAGTGTTGAGATTGTTTATCTAGAATTCTATGTACAATGAAGTACAATGAAAAACAAAGCCCATCCAAGCCCCATAACAAGAAATTAAAAAGCTTCAGGGTGTGGAAGGACTGTCTTTATTTTCTGAAACAGCTTTAGCTTTTTAAAATTATAAAATCCTTTAAAAATAATTTACATACAGGGATTAATGGCTTCCGAACACGCACCACAAGACCACCACATGGTTTAATCTTTAATCTCGACGTATGCATGACAATCCTGTCACTAGCCTTCAAAGAATAAAATCAAAAATTATTCAATAAACCCATGATTTCTCATTCCCATTGCCAGCTAAAGACAACTGCGGAATTGCTTGGATTATCACAGATTTTTGGCTCAATCCTAACATTTTGTGTTATTTTAGTAGAGGCCCCTTTTTGCCAAGTCTGAGTTCCAAGGCTGATTATTTCATAATGAGCTCTTTTTTTTTTTTAGGTCAATGACTACAATTATCTTGGGGGAGAATGGCAAATTTTGAAGGCATTGTGCCAAGTGGATATCTCTAACCATATCAACTAACTTTGTTGGTAGCTGGATATAATTCAAAGTGTTGAAATATATTCATCTGATTAGTTGAATTTTGAAATTTTTATTGATTCTTTTAAAGAGTGGTATGACACAGTTCCAAAGAGGTTTTGATATTTTAACATTTGACGTCATTCTAATTTTGCTTATAGAATTAAAGATTATAACCATAAATCTCATTTCCTCTGAGGAAACTCTCCTTAATATACATCCATAAAAGATTTACTCATAATGAATATAGAGTGAAGACCTTGAAATACTGAAGTAGATATCCACTGACATTAGATCACAGCTAAATCAAAAGCCATGTCCCCATAATGGAAATGTAATCATTGGATAATCACCTCATGAATTAGTCGATATATTATATATAAAGATACTTGGATGGGGGTTGCAAAATGAAATATATGTATTAATGTTTGTTTGAAAGTTATTTTCCCCTTTTAAGGCCTAAATGAAGGCTAAATGTGCCTCATAATTTCATAGAATGTAATATTCTGCTAATAGGTAATAATGCATACAGATCTAATGTTTTTAAAAAAGATCAGTAATGTGATGCCCTTCATATATATGTCACATGACCATCACTTAGTGATCAGGTGACAGCAAGGGATCACATGACTCACCTCGTCCTCTGTAGTGATGATGCCACTGTCTGTCTTACTGCTGTCTGAGGGCGCCACATATGAGTTGTCGTGGGTGGTGTCACCCGTTGTCATGGCGTCCTCACTAGACTGGGCGTAGCCGTCGTCTGAGGAGCTGGCTCTCTCCTTGAGTTTGGCACTGATCTCATCCTGTGATAGATAGATAGATAGATAGATGGATAAAATGTAGACAGATCAATAGATATATAGACAGATAAATAGATATATAGACAGATAAATAGATTGATAGATGGATAAAAAGATACATGTTAACAGGTGATTTTGATCAATAGATAGATAATGTAGAATGATATGCGTGTATATGTAGAATAGAGAGATTTAAAATAAAGATAAATGATCTAAAAATTCATTGCAAAATGATATGAGTCATAGAATGTTGCTACGATAGAATTAACAAATATTAAAGGTATCTACGGTAAATATCGGAAAAGCTGTTTTTTCTTCTTCATTCTTTACAATGGAAAATAAATTCACAGATCCTTATAGCTCTATTCCATGTTCATGTGCTCTCTACATTCAAGGCTGGTTAAAAACTGATATAACCATTTCAGAATATTTTCAACGACACCTTCTGAAAAATACTTGAAAGTTCTTTTCGGCCTATAACTGAAAAATAAGGACTTCAAAATTTGTCATTCAATTCAGAGATTATTCCACACTTGCTCAATTTAACGTAAGGTCAGACAACAATGAAGTCAACAAAAAAAAAATCAACTTTGGAAAAATCAGCTGCCTTTGTCTGTCAATTCACCTGCTGTAGGTTGCATGTACATTGCGTGTGGATTTCAATTGGTCAGAGAGGTAACCCCATCATTTCATTTTCCCCTCTCTATTACCAATGACAGTAGCAATTCCCCTTCCCCGTTAAATCATATCGTGATGTCATGAAATGACTTGCATTCTTCGGTCAAGATCATTCCAAACCGAGACCGGCTAATCCCAAGAATTAACATCTGCCATAACGTATGAACGACGGTTGCTCCGTAAAAATAGGTGCTCTTGTCGGCTAATGCCCTTTAATAGCAGGCCATGGGTTGAGAGTCGATCAGAAAACTCATCTGAGTATAATTGCTTCCATTCACACCTTGCTAATTTACACTCCCCAGCATACAGGGTACATGTATATTTACTAGGTCAGAGCTAGAAGGGTCTTAACTGATCATGTACATGTATGTTACATTAAGTAAAGGTAATGCCCTTCTGGCTCTTAGCAGACAAATTGTGTACATGTATCTGTATGCTTAATCTTTTCTTCTTGGATTGGTAATAACAATTTTTTTCTTTTCTTTTCTTTTCTTAAAAAAAAAAATTGTGTTTGAAATAAAGTATTGCATTGAAATGAATTGAAAACATATACATACATTTTATACTTCCTTTTGGCCTATACCAAATAAGGTTCTGACATGAACAAAAGCACACACAAATGTTAATAGACTTTGAAGAAACATTTTGGAAATGTTTCAATGATGCTTCTGAATAGATTTGTGCCTTCCAGTATAACTAATGGCCCTTTTAAACCCCTCTCATAGGAAACTTCTTGCCAAGTCTGATAAGTCTAGTTTAAATTCCTTCTATAAGGGTGCATTCTTCTTTTAAATATTACAAAATGCCAGTAAAGCCCGTTACAGATTTACACATCATTCACTCCGCTTCTTCGCTTTAACAAAACAATATGGAAATGAGGAGGAGGCTTCTTCATACAGCCCAATCTCCATCTTAAAATAGATAATAATCTGGGGGCATTTACTCTTATTTAACTTTTGCATCAGTATAGGGAGGGTACGGGGCCCCCACTGGTATTGTCTTTAGTAAGCTGTTAGTCCTACTAGATGGGGGGAAATTAGCAAAGTTCATCCTGACCACAAAGGCTATTTCTATACCATGAAGGAAGAGGGTCATATTTTCATACCCTTTAGTTTGTGATTATGATGACACACTGTATCTGTTCAAGACCTCACAGGGTGCGATCTTCCATTAATGCTCACACTGCCTCATTCGGCTGATTGGCAATCATTTTCAGAATTGGCAGAAGAGACATACAGACTTTAAAGATTCTAATCAAAACTCAAATCACAACCATTTCGGCATAGGCAGAAAATTTTATTTTTAAGACCAGGGAAATTATCAGAAACTTTGATGTACAAAATTTCCCAATTTCCTAATTACCAGTACACAAATGAATAAATAAATGACATATATATATATGTATATAATCTACAACTAATTTTCTTTTGGAAATTTAGATTTGATATCAAAATAAATGATGAAAAAATAAAAAGAAACAAAAATGATTATTGTATTAAAAGCATTTACGAAATGTATATTTGATGGGGTGGTGAGGGAGGGAGGGAGGGGGCTAAGCTGTCATAAGCCCCTATCCACTTGTGTATTTTAAGCAATAAAACCTGAGCTCTAGGTCTATGAGGATCAACCGAAGATACAAAAACAAAGAGGTCCGTCTCATGACGGTGACCAGACATTTAAATCCAGTGACAATTAATCCAGGCTTTATTTCATCACTGGATAGGGTTGCAGTCTGGTTTGAGGTTCAGGTTAGGGTAAGGATAAGGGTTAGATAATCTTGGGTCCAGGGTTGAAAGTTAGTAATTTGGTTAGTGTAAGAAACATGGAGCAATTGTCGCATAGGCAAGTGTTGTAGAACCCTCATGACACTGAACATCCCATTGAAAAGTTGATGACCTTAAAATTTGATGAATTCATTGAAGTGGCTCCAGGATCAATGGAGATAGCCAAATCTTGTCTCAAACAAACCCATATCCAAATTTCCTGATGACACGCTGTATCCCAAATCATTTTAGGACCTCACACGATGTTATATATCTAACATCTCACCAATCAAGATAAACATATTAATTCTTCATTTACAGGAGGAAATAGTGGCGTTTCAATACTGACGTCACTGTGGTATGGTCTTCGCTTCATGGAGAATTACCATAGCCAAGCCGTGTAGGCCAAACAAATTTGTTTCTATGGTAAAAATTAGAGAAATGGAATTTCATCCAAGTGCTAAAGAGACCTAGTTGTCAATATGATAAAATAAAATGATATTTTTGTATTAAACTACAAATTCTTATTTAGATAAGTATCTTTATGATATTTAAACCTAATAATAATAAATCTAAACAACACATTTTTGGATGAGGAGAGCTAAGTTGGTTGGATACCTATGACCTCATCATCTTTTTACCCAGTAAAAGGAAATGAAAACAATCCTCCACCTCCCAGGCAACTTCCACGTCTTAATTCCTCACACCGCACATTTGGCTTTAACGGTGACCCTTCCTTCATATAATCTCTAGCGCTGAGTCAGAGTCGAGATTTTGGCAAGGGCTCCCCGCGACAGCTGACCTGCCGAGCGCTGACGGGAGATTCTCTAATTCAATGCACCGAATTACGGAACACGACACGTAATCAGTTCAGGCTTTGACCCATTTTTTGTGGAGAATGAGAGAGCTAGGGACCCCGTACTTGCTATGTTAAAGAAATGTGAAATTTTCGTGCTGAGAAGAGAGGGGGAGCAAAATAGGGGACTTCCTACATTTTGAATGAGCATTGTTGTGGTTGCGGAGAGCAGGCGGAAATAGAAAGTGAAAGTGAAACATAACGCTCTTATCTAGCTTCTTTCATGTCAGAGTATAAAAACATGAATATTCTATGCCATATGTTTCCAATTGGTTTATTTGTTTGTTCTTATGAGCTTTATTAAATATCTATGAGAATAATCTACCGGTACCCAAGAAAGAAAAAAAAACAGTCACTGTGTTAACCCCTTATGATTCCCCACAGCATTATCAAGTAAAATCAGTGTAGTGCAGGAACATTTCTGTACACATCTTATAAGAATCAGATCGGCGAGTGTGCATGGATGGGATTGTTGCATTCAGCTACAATGTACATCTACATAACTGTCTTTTCACCCCTAATATTGCCTTTTCGCCATTCTTTTACATATATGTGCAAAGAAAAGCTTCCCTGTGACATTTCATTGAGGTGGATTACTGTGAAATATCTGAAATGGGCTTTATAGGAGACAAATTAGGAGGTTTACTTCCAATAAATGTTAGATCCACAAAACTGGATTCTCAGTAACAGATAGGAAATGACTTGCAGAAAGACAAAAAGTCAGTCGCATATTCTAACAATAGGGATGTTGGCGTGAGAGTTGTGCTAATCATCCCAACCCAAGACCTAATCCTAGATAAGTCAAATGTGACGCAGCTTAGATGATCCCCCGCAATATCTACCACAGTATCTTGATGATTAATGATGTTGTCACATTCAAATCCATTCAAGTCCTGCCACAATCTGGAAAGGTGCCATGAATATTGCATCACTGAGGAAGAACCACTTTTGAAAGTATGGATAGTTCTAAGCTAAGTTGCATGAAGACGGCATGGTTATAAGTCTATGCATCATTTTGTAAATGTCCAATCTCTAAAAAAAGGAGCTGAATTATTAGGATATCATGTTTGCCTTTGTACTACATAGACACTGCTACAACAAATCCAATCGCTCTCTATAAAAAACTTGTGAGAAACAACCAAAGATGAGGGAGTGTATAGCTGTATCAATATCTGAACAAACTGAACTAGACCCAACCCATATCATATGCCATGCGGGTACAGTAAACATGTATACTATTAAGATCTAATGCCCAGGGCTCAACACTCAACGTCACCCGGGACACATTGTTATCCAAAAACTTAGTCAGGACCCGGAGAATATAATGTGGCGTAAACCGCAAACCTTGCTCAAATCTATCATAACCATGGACGCCTTCAAAGATTACAATTTTGGCATTTTTACATAGGCTCATGGCTGCAGACTGTAAAACAGTTTGATCCAAGCCACCTTCCAAAAAGTTAGTACGGTATGTAGCATACTAATGACAGTCAGATCTATTTATCTCTCTAAAATGTCTAGTAAGTCTACCTAATGAAAACTGACAAAGTGGCCTCTCTAGACAGGTTCAACAACACATACAGTATTTGTTCCTAGAGAGAGAGGGACAAAATTTAGGTGACCACTTTAAACATGCTTTTATAGACTGTTTTTCCTTTATTTAATCATATTTTTGTAGATAGAGGAGCTGTTCTTACTGCCAGGTTTGATGTGTTGAGTGAATAGGAGCTCCTGTCTTTGGCTGAAGCTGGTTTGTCTGGTGTAAACACACTATCTTCTGACATGCTGATGCGTTTGTTCAGTTCACCTTCCTCATCCCTGGAAAAAATGAAAAAATATATTATTGAAAGAAGAAATTGTATTTTGAACTTTTAGACCCCCCCCCCCAAAAAAAAAATGAAACTTTTATTTTTCCACAAGATTTGACAAGAAGAAAGTGGATGGATATGACCAGACTTTTCCCTGTCCTCACAATTTACTACTGAATGTAATACATACTAGATTATGTATGTATTTTCCAAGAATCCCACCGCCCCCCGAAAAAAAAGGGAAAACAAATTACACTCGGCATAAAAAGAAAGTAGACACTCTTTATAGTTACAAATGTTCATAAAAACCCTCTATTCATGCTTTCAGGGGAAGAAAATCCCATATTTTTAGTATTTTCAGTCCAAAGTTATTATGAACCAACTCAAAAGCTTGTGGTGGCATTTGCCTCTCACATGAAACAGGAAGGGTTGAAATAGGAAGGAAAGAATTCATCTATGGATGACAGACAGCTCATCAAGCCAGCATTATTCCCTCAAAATGTTCTCCATCTTACCTGATGATGTCATACAGTAATTAATGAATGTCACTGTATATCTGGCAGGGATAACCAACTAAGTGAATTAATGTTCTTCTTTTTTGTTCTAACGCTCCTGAGCCGTGTCTATTGGCTCAGCTTGAATGCCAAATTTTGAGCATCATCAAATTTCTATTATCAACCACATCCTCGTACACACCTTCATCATATAGATTGTTGGGGAAATTAAACTGGAAGGAGTGTCGTTGGATCGTTTTCTGTATAAATTTAACCAAGCCCAGCCTGGGAGACATAGCAAATAGGCCATTATCTTGTAAGGTACAAGGATTTCATATTATTATGATTTTGAAAGAAGGATATTGCAAGCGAATACACCAATAATGCAAGAAAAGCTTTAGTATCTCATCATTTTTGCTCTATAAGAATGGATCAAACCTATTTTTTGTTTTACATCTTAAATTAAGTTATTTTGATCTTGAGGTGTTGTGTGTAATTCATACAGGATCTATCACATGTCACCTACTTTACCCAATGATGTGATGATTTTATCATTTCCCTGTCTCCAGATCTACACTGATAAATATAAGCAGGAAATGCACTGTGGATCATACTATGATCTTTGATATCATCATTCTAATGCCAAAGCTTTCTGCCTTCACATTGAGTACTATATAAAAGCACATCTATTTTTGTATTATTTCTGCTTTATGAATAATTTGTAATGAAAATGAATATTTCATTTACACCATAGGTTTATGGCTGCACAGAAAAAAAATGGATGTTCATCACAATTTGCAGAAGTAAGAAAACATTATGACCCAAGATCATGATTTTTAAAATAAGTATGTCTCTAAAATTATAGCTATTCATTTCTATTTCCCCAAGATTTTTTGTAGGGAATGTTAAATGTTTGATTGCATAGGGTTCAATTACGATAAAAAACAGAATTTCAGATCAAATCTCAATCGCATAAATTGAAGAGGAAAGTAAGATTGAGATAGAATTTAGATCTACAAAATCATGCTTCTAAAACTGGAGTATGCTTGCCAAACAGAACATGCATACATCTACGTACACTGTAACTCTGTTTCCCTTTCAGATTTTGTCAGGAATCATTCTAAAGATATAATGACAACATGTTATATTGCCATAGCAGTCAATAGCTAAACACGTTCAAAATTTCAGATGGAACTTTGATAGCGATTGAAGACATTTAGGAAAGTACAAATTTAGATCATGTGTTGATTTTTCAAAATCATATGTGCCGAAAATCAAATAGACCATGATCAAGTACATCAGTCCTCTTGTATTTTTGTCCAAAATCATCTTTAAGATAAAGTGGGTTCAATCGCTTATATGGACACAGAATTCATATGGAGCTTTGATAGTAATCAGTGGTGTCGGTGCAACAAGGTGCTAACTAATAAAAGTGTCATTCTGAAATAAATGCATTAAAAATCATCTGTTTCTGTAAAGCACATCTTAATGTGAGAAATCGTGTTTTGTGTAATTCCACTGCTGCAGAATCGCTTTGTTATTTGAGCAACTAAGGTTTAAATTGTTAAAGTTTTGTATTTTACAGATGCTACAGAAATATTCAAATATCAGTTGATGAATGTAATTCATTTTTTAAAGAAAAGTGAGTGTTAGCACCTTAGTCCACCAACCACCTGAATTATCAGGTGTCTGCAATCTAATATCATTACACATCTGATGTACGTCACATGTTCTGATAGTCATATGATCTCTGATATCATGCACTTTATCAGGACGTCAAACTCAGAGGGGGTGAAAATTGAAGGAAGTACTTTGATTTGATTGATTGTCTCTTTACTCTAAATGTCATGATCTCATGTCCGCAACATTCATTTTTAGTTTTATGCCGCTATAAGTACAGGCGATTAAAAGTGCATTTTTCCACAAAACATGCCCTTTGAGTGTTTTCTTTCTTTCATTTTATTGATTCTATTGTTTATTTTCTCACTCTTTCTTTTTATTTTTCCTGTCTTCCAATTTTAAGTGATAAAGTTTTAAATTTCTGCAATAATTTCATGATTTCTTCCACCTCATCTAGCAGCAGCTAGCTTCACTATTCCCCTGTCATAAAAGGGATGTTTATCCCAAAAGTTCAAAATGGTTACAATGTACTTTAAGGTGATATATACTTGATTTGATATATTGTGTTCTTGATTTATCTCTTTTTTTTGGGGGGGGGGGTATTTTATTTCAATCATTTGACAGAATATTTTTTTATTGTGACTCTTTTTTTTATTCATTAAGCTGTAACATCTGAATGGTTTACCCAGGATTTGTACATAAAAGGAATGCAGGGGAGGTATAATACTTCCATGCCATTTAAACAAAAAAATAATTAAATTTATGATTTGTGGGGGGGGGGGGGAGCGTTTTTTAAATATCCTTCCTTTTTCCTATTTCCTCTTCCATTGAGACAGGGTTAGGTATGAGAAATGGAATCATCACTCCTATAATCCTCTAGCTATATGCTGATAACATTTTATTTTCTTAGAATTCCAGGGGCTTCTTGCCTGCAGCCCCCGGGGATCTTGTCCCCCTACTTACCCTCCTGTTTCTAGTTCACTTGTTGATTTAGACTTGTTCTTGTTTGGTGTTGAGTCTCCTTCTGAACCTTTTGAACTCTTCTTCTTCTTGAAAATCTTCTTTATCGACTTCCATGCTTTGAACTTCTTCTTCTTTGGAGCACCTGTAAGTATCATATTACAAATACAGCATGTAGACTGATGTGTGATCTGATCTTACATTTTACATTTTGTCTTGGTTCTGAAAGCAGTTGAATCTAATCTTAACTTATGTACCCATAATTCTACTAAAATCTTTAAAAAATAATGTTAAACATTTTGCCATGGTTTGTGAAAGTAGGTGAAAGTGAAGTAAGGTGTCTTTAATATAATGCAAGAAAAAATAATCCAGGGAGTTTAGGAAAAACGATCACAACAGAAAGATCCATGTTCCTTTTAAATAATGCAAAAACACAAAATAACGGAACAGACAGATGTCATTACATTAATTTAGAAAAGTGACTGAAAGGATGTTTTACACAATGGTTTCTTGTTTCTCATGATCTTCTGAAATGATTTCTCAACATGTATTTCAAAAGTACTCTGTATTTGAAATACAAGCTGATTAAAAAACACTAAAAATAATATGGTTGCCAAAATGTGTTACTGGCCCAATACTCCCACCCCCAAATAGAGGTACCCTACCAGGTCACTATACTGCATCATGCTAGCTCTATGGAAAACTTTAATTAAAACTGCCAGGCAGTCTTCCTTGATAAGTCTCTTCTGATGAGTAATGTGATATGACTCTTACACTAATATCTACCTCTCTCACTCATTAATACTATCGTCACTAAGCCCAGTTAATCCAATAGTCATTCCCCACCCTCCCATTAAGCTTGTGCTAGAAAGCAAATGTCATATCCACTGTAGTTACAGTGCAAACTATCTTATAATAAAAGATAATAATAATAGTCAAATTTGTACAGCACCAAAATTACTACATTTCTAACCGATTCAAATTGTTATTATTATTACCCTGGTCATTGGATTCAATTACTAATCCATACATGATAGTGCGCACACTACGCTCCCTGGGGAGTATTCCAGCTATTGAACAAGTGCACACATGCCAACGGCGAAAATCATCCAATGAAAACGAAATTGGAAAACGCCATAAAAAACCCAACAACGACAAAAACAACAACCACATTATCTGCAGCATCCTACCGGGTACCCATTCAACACCTGGGTGGAGAGTGGCAAATGTCCATCCTACCTGACTGGTATAATTCACTGTCGCTCATCCCTTCTTCTCTGGGACTGCGAGGCACCACCACCATATCCTCCTCCGTTATGTCCATGGCCTGTGCTCCGCCCTCTGTTTCCTGAGCTCCTCCTCCAGCTTCCTGAGCTCCGCCCCCTGCTTCCTGTAGCTCCTCCTCCTCCTCCGTGCCTTGCTCTCTCCCGTTCACCACCTGGACAGCCACAGACATCTTGTTAGGTGGTAGGATAACTGTCAAAGAAATAAAGAATTAATTGATTAATTTACAAATGTACAAGATGAGCAAATGTTGTATTTTTGACATGTATTTGCTCACCCTGCTAGGCAGAAACAGGAAGATCTACAGTGAGAAAACAAAAGAAAACTAAAACTAACAGCAAATGAAGAGGGAATTATATTTTTCATCATCATACACATAAGTTTCAATATATGTATATTTAGCATTCCATTGTTCCATTGTAAATTCTCCTCCCCACTTTGACCAGATATTTGTAGGAAAAATCTATTTTTATATAAAAATGTCCATAAAATTTCAAATGAAAGCAATCATTAATGCTATTACATTGTCACTCAATATAAAAAAACAACTGTCAATTGTCAACCTATAGACCTGTATCTCTTGATTTTATTCTACAAAATAATATACACACGTAAAGGATACATAGATGAAGGATATGAAAAGAATGCAAGATGGTATTTTACAGGGGAGAGTCCTGGGGAAGGAAAAGCAGTTCTGGTAGACTAAAAAGATTTTATCAAAATATTGGCTGTTTAGCAAAACAGAAGTTATTGAAGAGAATGTACAAAATGCAGGGTTCATATTCTTTACAGTGCATTTTCTACACGAGGGTTTGTATGTCAACATAGCTACCCCGGGTAGAATGTAGGCATCCAAGTTAAGATAACAATCACAACCATGCAAATTGAAATGGCAATCTCCAAATAGATCCTTGAGTTTGACGTCATTTCATGACTTTGAATTGGCAACAAAAAAGTGCATGTGGAAATAAAAGAGGGAGATGAAAAAATGCATGATAAACATTCATGTACAGTAGTGATTGAAAGAAAGAGGACACAAAGGAAGGGGTGAGAGAAAGAGAGCAGTAAAGTGTGCTAGAGAAAGAGGTTTGGAGAGAGAAGGATAAGAGAGAAAGAGAAAAAGAGAGAAAGACAGAGAGACAGAGAGACACACAGAGAGAGAGAGAGAGAGAGAGAGAGAGAGAGAGAGAGAGAGGTACATGTACGGTGTATATAAATGTAGTTACGATCAAATATATTTGCACAAAGTCATGTACAAAATTGATTAGTAAAAATGACAAGTTGCAGACAGCGTTGGAAGACATGGGAAGAGTCACAATCAGGCAGTTAGTCTACGTGTACAAATATAGCAGAATATATTAGAAATCCTTATGTTAGATTAGGTTCAAAGACTGATCTTGAAATTTGACCAGTAACTCCTTGATACTGTCAATCAGTCATTAGGGATTGCAATTATATGCATATATTTTTTTTGGAGATAATTTATCAAAACAGTTCAACCTACATGTACTTAATTATATTGTACACATGTACTAGCTCCACCCATTTATAAGAGAAAATTTTATTGGTCTTTACAGCAAACAGTTATTGGACTACTTGCATGTACAGCAATTGCACATGATTGAGTAATGTGCAAAGTCAAAAATAATAACAATATACATAAACATATGAAGGAATGTATTGAAGAATATAATGGACAGCTTTTCTTGCAACAACTCTCGAGGGAATTTAAGTGCAAATACACTCTGAAACCAGAGAAATGCTTTGTCCCTGCTGGAGCACAAGGAGGTCTATAAAATTTACAATTGCAAACACGATTGAGTCAGAGATTGCATTCTCAAAACAGTTTTGTTCAAGTGCTAAGAAAGGTGAATGCTCATGATAAAAATACAATGCAAAATACAATTTTCTATACTATCATACATCAATTTCTAAACCATTTCCAAAAGAGAATGAAATTAGATTTCTTATTGGGAATTTGTGTAGAGATTGATATTTGATAAGAGAGTCGAATAAAGAACAGGATTTATGAGCGCCTGTAGCTTTGAATCCAGGCTCAACCTGCTCAGTCTTCTCAATGGAATAAGTGTATCAAAATTAGATGTTCTCTGTAGGTTTCCATGGTGACTAACCGACTATTCATATATCAAGGCTTTCAGTAACAAAATGTGGTAGCCTTACTTAATCTCGATCATTCCCTCTTTTTCTTCCTCCTTCTATTTCATCTCAATTCTGTAGTGTACACAACACCGACAATAAAAAGTAAAAATTGTCTTGTGTAAGTGTTCAATAAATCTCCACTCCATTGTCATCGCTTCCTTTTTTTCTATTATACTTCTTCCTCAATTCCTCTATCGCCCATAACAGGTTCTTTTGACAAAAGAATAAATATATCAACAGCCTTTTCAGTGAGTAAAGCTACCAAATGGTTTTAAAAAAAGGTCTGGTACAAAGAGGAAAGGGATACACTATTACACTTAAAGGAAACTTAACATCACAAAGAGAGGCAGGAAAAGAATAATAACAGGTGGCAAACTAAACATACTACAACCAGTAGGTTATGATGAATTCAGGAATGGGAGAATAAAAGACTGAATACCCAAACAAACAACATAACCCAAATTAAATTCATGAATAAATGAACATAAAGAGAAGAAGTGAAACATACAATGAAATATGAATGTTGACATTTAAAGAGCTAAATCCAGGGTACATGTATCTATAGCCAATGGCAATGTCTTGGTCCCAAGAACAATGAAAAATCTATTTAAAAACTCAACTAATTATGATATCAGACACTCCTACAGTCAACAATAAGCTGTTGAAAGGCCTGACACCAAAATAACAACTTTAAATGCCATCCAGGTATATTTTAAGAAGCGCACCATCATCTCCATAGCTTCATTGATTGAGAGAACCAAGGTACGCTATTTTCATTCTTGCTGGGATGATTATATTGTAACTCTATCCTTGCCAGAGTCATTACAATCTTGGCCTATATACCTGTACGCATGTTGATTGTTGCCATGACGATTAAATTGTGGCAGTAATCGGCTAATGCCAGAGGTGCATCACGACACAAGAGCCAAAATATGATCTGATTTTAGTTGAAGTGAGCCATATACTGTCTCACTCATATTTCCACATTCACATGTCTTTCATGATTTTCTGTAAAAGAACCCTTGGAAAGAACCTCAAGGAAAGTAGAAGGCTAGATTATATTTAATCAAATATTTAACTATTATGCAGGATTTAAAAAAATCTCTCTTTAACAAAGACGAAGTTGGGCCAAGTAAATGTTTTTTTTAAATTACTACTCAGCATCCCACTTAATTTGTTCTTATCAAGGGTTCACTGACTTTCTGCAGGAAGGTTCTAAATTACTCCAATTAACAGTTCATGACGTTATTACAAGCGGTAAACAAAACAGAGGTACGCTGTACTATGTGCAGTTTGGCATTTGAGTACTTTACAGAAGTATGTGTCATTTACAGAGTACACTTTGTCTGTTCAGAGCCAGAAGGGCATTAACTCTGTGTTAAATAACTAGAGTTAATGCCCTTTCGGCTCCAAAAATACCACTTGTTGTCAGCCTATGTGTACATTTACATAACCTACACAAAACTCCTTTGGTAGAATGAACTCCAGTTTTTTAGACAAAGTTTTGACAAAGAATGAATAGAACCAACACAAACCAACTAGCAAAGCATGAAACTTTGCACAAGTAAAGGCTGGGTAAATCTACTCCAACATGTAAAACACACATCACTAGAACGATAATGTACTCATCATTTTTTTTTTCTAACGGTATGCAAGCTCAATCCAATGTATACAGCCAATTCCTATAAAAGTCGACTGCACATAAGATCATTGTACAGTAGACTACATACATCAATACAGGTGTACATGTATGCACAGCATTTGTAACATGATTCTCACAAGTCCTACAAATTCTCACCTTCATCAACAACAAATACATCCATGGTGTACTTTTGCTTTATATGACCAGAAGGTCTTTGCCCCAGCAGGTTATTATTCCGCTTTAATCCAAATCACAACACCAAGCCACAACTTAACAGTTGGTTGTTTCTTGTCCAAGTTCAACTTCACTATGAACGTCTGTCACACTATCTCAGCGGGTATATAGGCCTTGGAACATGATGCTATTGCTTGAAGCATCGGTAATAGAAGAAGGGTTGCAAGTCTCAACTTTACCAGCTGGTTGTTACTCATCTGGTTTCAGCTCCACTGGTCTTTTCACATCTGCATTAGAACATGCCTGAAGAAACAGCCAATATGAGACGCACACTAGTCATAACTTCCACAGTTCCATATATAGTTTTAAAGCAACTGAAAACAGAATACATCAGAGCTTATTAAAGCCACAACTTTTTTTTCCAGCTGGTTTTCACTTGCTCCACTATGAAAATGTGTTTCTCAAAGTAGACAGGTACAGTAGATGTATAAACATGTTACTTGCTCAAGTTCAACTCCACTATGAAAACCTCACTCACAGGCTCGGCAGGTAGACACTGGAATATGATGCCAATAGCTCAGAGCATCAGACAATACAAGAAGGGCACAATCTAACCCCCCAGGGGCACTCCAAACACCCGCCTGATATCTGATCCACCTCCCCTCTATAAGCATTGATGTGATCTTGCCTTTAGCTGACACTTGCTTGGTTCTCACGTTTAAGGGACTACGGCTTAGCGACAGCTCAATGTATCAAGCAGCAAATCACACACATTCAACTTTGTGATGGGGAAAGGGCGAAAAAGAGAGAAGGGAGAGAGAGAGAGGGGAGTAGGGGAGAAGAGGCTATACGTTCCTATCCCTAGGGAAACATGGACTTGACAATTTTTCCCATATCAAACTCCAAACTCCTTCCGGCGCGGCTAAGACTTCAGAGGTCAGGATCGCTCCTCGCTGGTGAATCACGCCAGACAGGCGGAGGGAGAGCTAGGCAAGGCAGCGCTGATTCGCTCGCCAGGATTCAGCTGGGATGATTGAGACTGAAGGATGGGCACGAGAGGCGTCAAGAAGAGACTTCTGGTATTACCCCTATCTGCTTCCTCCCCCTTTTCCTACAACCTCACATCTACAAATCTTGAACTCTATAGATGTGTTGGTAGCAGGATTAGGGTGACACATTTCCAATACACTACTGCATAATGATCTGCTAAGACTGCATAAGAGCCAGAAGGGCATTGACTACTTGACTTGTGCCCTTCTGGCTCTCAACGGATAGTATGTCATGTTTACTAACACCTCAAGATAATGAACAAGGAAGAGTGACCTATCTGCTTCCTCCCCTTTTCCTACAACCTCACATCTACAATCTTGAACTCTATGCATGTGTTGGTAACAGGATTAGGGTGACACATTTCCAATACACTACATATCATAAAGACTACCTGAGCGCCAGAAGGGCGTTGACTTGTGCCCTTCTGGCTCTCGAGAGATGTCATGTTTACTAACATCTCAAGATAATGAACAAAGATGAGTGATTGACACAGACCACAAATGTAGGAGATTGTTAGGGCGAGTGGACACAAGTTTTAACACCGACTGTGTCATCTCCACCCTCCTAAGACTAAGAAAAAAACTATGAACAGTTTAAAACAGTCAGACCTCCTTTTAACAATGACCACATGACACACATGTATCATTTTAATGTCTCTAATCCCATGAGAAATAGTTCTCATTAAAACATTCAATATTGAAGGAAACCTGTAATGATCACATTCCTATGGAGACCCATATTTACTTTTCACTCAAGGGAACCTGTATATAAAGACCATCCTTCTAAGAAGGCCCACCTTCAAATTTTACTGATAGGAACCTGTATATAAAGACCATCTGTTTAAGAAGGCCCACCTTCATATTTTACTAATAGGAACTTGTATATAAAGACTGTCTGTAAACAAAAATCTTTTTTTCTCCCTTGAGTAGTCTTCATAGCATGTTGCCTACCACAAAGTAGAGTGCCAATAAATCTAAGTAAATAGTATCACAAACATTTAATGCTCTTCTGGCTCTCGAAGATGAAATTTGACTATACATGAAATGCACTATTCCACTAAGTACAGTCAAACCTGTCTATAGCGACCACCAAAGGGAAACACAAAAAGTGACCTTTGTAAACAGGTTCCTTTAGTACATGATTCAATGAGAAACCATTGTCAAGGGAAACAACAAATGTGGCCTTTGTAGACAGGTGGTCACTAAAGCAGGTTTGACTGTAGGATAGTGTAAAATATCAAACTGACCTTCTGCAAAATCTGTTTCCTCTTTCTTAACAAGTCTTCTGTCTTGCTTCCTTGCAGCTCCGGCTTTGCCTCCTCCTCCGCAATGTCCGTTTAATTTTAACTCCTTGGCGCTCGTGGCATTGATGTCCAAGCGCCAGTTTTCGGGTGGATCGAGGAGGTACTCAGGATCGATGAGGTCCTCTGTGATGGAGATGTCGTCTTGGTGGGGATCGATGCAGCCCTCTGGTTCGCTTCTCTGGCTCTGAGGGTCGGCTGGTATTCCGGGGTTGTGATCGCTTCCTTTTAGGTCGCTCTTTTTCTTTGTGTGACCTGGATTAACAAAAAAAGGATGAGAAAAGATGTTACAGTCAAACCTGCTTTAGTGACCACCTGTCTACAAAGGCCACATTTATTGTTTCCCTTGAAAATGATTTCTCATTGAATCATGTACTAAAGGAACCTGTCTACAAAGACCACCTGTTTACACAGGCCACTTTGTGTGTTTCCCTTGGGCAGTCACTATAGACAGGTTTGACTGTACTATTAAAAGAAATATGATGATCCATGATAGCTCAACAGATAAGCCAATCTTCTACAAGAGTAGGGGTACATACACTGATACATATGCAATGACCACATATCTATCAATATAACATATTTGACAAAGCAAAGAATATGATTCAATACATAATAACTATTGCCATCCCAAAATAAGAAAATCTTTTGCTGCCTATTACGGGATTGAAGAATTAGTATTAGTTCTTCTCAGCTGATGTAGATGAAGATCCTCAACAGACAACAATCAAGGTAAATCTGATACAAAAGTAAAATCGAATGGTGTTCTAAAAGATATTTTAAAATGGGATTGAATCCACCCTTTGTGTTCTACTGACAAAATGCAGAAAACATATTTCTATTAAAGCGATTAAGGTCATCGTGGTCTGCATTCAACCAAAGCTAACCACATTTCCTCATTAAAGGCATTTTCCTGGAAACATATACATGTATGTGTCTATGAGAACAAAGCTGTTCTGCATCAAACAAAATAAGTGAGGTTGAGAAATATCATTAATTCTGAACCAATTCACACACTAAATGATGTTGCAAGATAAATTTTATTATGTCTGATTATAATTATAATTGCTACAATATCCCCTGCTACAATATCCCCTGCTGCAAATTAATAATGAATGTATTACTGGCCATCCAGCAAATTGCTTCGACTCTGTAGGACCATGGACCTACTATGGTAGGATGAACTAGAATGGAGGGATGATTGGTTTCATACAGTAATCTGATACCAACTGAAAAATTCATGCAGAGAAAAAATTATATGAAGGTCATATCTAATTAAACCATGTGGACATGTACACATGTACATGTACATTGTAGGCTGACATTTCTATGGAGTATTTAAATTACACAAATGAGTACAAAAATGAGATAATTATATCAAATTAAAGCAGACAATTTGCAAAATCAATTGTCTTGGCACATAACAAAATCTCTTCTGTAACCCAGTGTAAAATTATACAAAAGTAAAACAAGTAAATTTTGCTTTGAACAAAAAAGAGCTATTGAAAAGCCTACACAGCTTTGATGAACAGAAAATGCAAAAGAGCAAAATCTCATCTTATCCAAAGAAAACCATATTTAAGAGATCCAGCAAACCCAAGCAGTATATTCCATTTTGTAACTACAACCTCTTCTAATGAAAGAAGTCGTTTCCTGCACGATTTTTATCCTTTCCAGTCCATCCATCTGTCATCTGCCAAGTTCATTCATCATGACCACTTCATTGACAATGTTATATTTCCCAGATGTTTATAAGATCTGCTTCTACAATGGAGCATGCAAGTGATTACCCCAACGATACAAAGGATTCAAAAACATTAAACGATTTGGCAGATTGAAACAATAAAATGTCAATCATATGATATGCAGAGCCAGAGAGCCAGAAAAGCATTAACGAATTTAGCTTTACACAAAGAGGAGGTTGAGTTCTGGTAAAATATGTACATTGTATGTCTACCGGTATATTTAATTTGCAAGCTTCCCATCCTTGTACATTAGTTTTACAGAATATTATAGTGGAAATGTACTAGATTGCAGGCTAAAAACCTTGTCCATCGGTTTGAGCGTAACAATGTCTGCACTGTAAGACTACAATAGACTCTGTACTTTGACACAGTCAGCTAGAGACTGATCTACATGTACATGAAGGCTCTGCTCAAGGCTTTAGGAATTTAAGTAGAGTGCTTGCATCTACTGAAAATGTCCCATGAATAGGATTGTACTTCAAGTCTTCAATTGCCCTAATATTAGAAATATGATGAGGAAATCGCTGAACAGTTTGGGCCAAACATTTGTACATATAGTCCCACTTATCCACTTCAGTGTGCAATGTATATGATCTGCAGCACTACAACTGAGTCAATATACATGTACATGTACCTTTTCTTTTTTATCATTCCAAAAACTCAATTCTTATAAACTACATAATTCCCCTTTTTCCCAATTGTTCCAGACAGTTTCTTTCACAATGCAATTTGCATGACCTTTTTTCAATTACATTTTCAATGACAATTGACAAAAATCAGTGACAAATCTGCTGATAACCAATCAGAAGCGAGAATTTCACAAGCTTATAACAAAAACTGTCATTTGTCACTGATGACAAGTTTTGTGAAATGGGGCCCAGAATTCAATTTATTTTACATGTGGCCCTATAGCTGCTCTCAGCAGACAATACACGCTATTGCTATCACCTGTATTCTGAGAAGTAGTCATATAGAGACAGAGATCCTTTTTTAATTTCATGACTACATCAGTTGCAGGATTTGCAGGGTAAGACAGATGTCAATAAAGCTAGATTCATCCAGGCAGAAAGACAAAGAAGAAGCTATATTTGAAGCGCTGCAATATGTTACCTTATGGGTCAATGAATTCTCCAGGTTTATACAGATCTTTGTTGTAATAGTAGAACTACATGTACATTAACATGTACATGTATGATAACCAAAACAATATTTTATGTTTATTTAGCACATTAGATGATACATTTCTCTTTACATATGGAGAATCATAATATTTTCAACACACCGTATTTATATAATGAAAAATGAATTTCTAATACATGTACATTTTCTATTTTATAATACAATAAGAGAAAATGATAACAACAAATATGAAACACGTAGATAGTGTAAAACTACAGTTTGTAATAATATTTCTTTACTTTTTTATCTCCAAATTTCAAGTCAGAAAGAAATTCTTTACTTCTACATGTAGGGGTATTTCTCACAAAAAGACTCACATACCGGTAGACAATTACATGAAACACTATATCCACAATTCCTGTGCCATCAGACTGAAGTACATGGACAATGTATTTACAAATAATCATGTCTCATTACGAGATCACTCAGTTAATTAGCTCATTAATCAAACAAATGTTTACTTACATGCATATGTAGGCAGGTTATCCACAAATGAGTGTACAAATCAATAGGCAATTAAACTTAATCTGCACTACAAAATCAATAATTGTGGCAACAACATGTGAGTATAAACTCAATTTTGCCTAAGACAGGCAATCCAAATAAACGTTGATAGATTTAATATACATCAATAAAACTGAACACAATTTAAATGTTTGCTTTTGCACTGTGTAATATTTAACATCTGACTCAATGGAATGAATCATAATCTGCAAACACTATCAAATAAACAAAAGCTCCAGCATTCATCCATGCATGAACCATAATTTGGTAAATATTATAATTCCATACAGCAGTGTCAAAAACAAACAAACAAACTGAGTATGAATTGATTGCTTCCGAAACACAATGGACCCATTTTTCTTTGTAAAGAGATTGGAAATGATTAGTTAATAATATGTGTTTTTCTTTAGTCCTACCGGTATAAGATCAGGTATTTTGGTGGTTTACTGATTATAAATCAGCTAAATATTTCCCACTTCATGGAAAAAGTTAAACAACAAAGTGTACATGTAGGTCAATATTATATGTGTACACTGTATATGTACCATCTCCAATTAAAAAAAAGAAGACTTATTTATCAACGGATGCATGTCGAGGGATCTTCTACATACATGTATGAAGGGAAAACTAAATAAAACAATCAGATTCACTGCAGTGTGTATTCTTCGATCATTACACATCTCAGGGCTGTACATTATGTAAACATGGTATGGAAATCGACCCTTCATGGCATCAGCTCCTGCACTGTGGAATTATCTACCATTAACAAAAAATGTGGAATATAGTTGCTCTTGATAACTTTAATAATGGATGGTCTAACCTTTTGGTCGACAAAATCAAATACACTTACAGATGGGCAAACCCATGCTTTACCCTAACATCTTTACTGTATATTAATTAAAATTCAGCTGCTTTGAAAGTTTGAGAATTTAAAAGATTTTGTACATATTTTGTTTCATTGTCATTATTATTATAGGACTTGTTGAATCCTTTATGCTACCTGCAGAACTATATATGTAATTCATGCTCCTGAATGCAAGCAGTTGACGTACAGTACCGTACATGTACTTTTATCTACTTCATACAAGGCTTCATTCTATAGCCAATAAAACAAGACAATAATCTGAAAGGTGTTTTGCTTCCAGGAAATGTCCGTCAGTAAAATACATTTTCTCCACCTCACAAGTCACATTAGGGCGGTTTTTGTGAGGGGGAAGAGAGACATACCCACATTTCTGCGGCTGTATTTCACAACAGTTGTGGATTCATTTCAGATTTGGATTTCAAATGTTTACACTCTGCGGGCCACATGAAGCGACTGGAGTGTTTACATTTGTATGGTCGCGATCATGTCATACACCAATAAATATCATAAATGATATCATACAATGTACATAGATGTGCATGATTTAATCATTACCAAATGTAAGGAACCACATGTGTGTATGGGAAAGGTATTCAATATTGAAAGTAAATCATAACTGATTAGTAATACAGCAACTGCATACCTTAAAATCAACACAAAACATTTCATGACAATAGAAATATATGTGAAATATAACAATACGATTATCGTACCATACAATGTAGTTATATTTATTTAGTCATACAATGCTAGGAATTAAAAGTAGAAAGATTTCAGTACAATTTTTCTCTTACGAACAAATTTATGAATTCGAAATGAAATGGAATAGTAAACCATATCATAACATACTTTCATACATGTATTATTGAAAATGCAGGTCATTGTGAAGGACAAATTATAAAAGCTAGACAACTACTGTACATGTTTACAGGTAAATGTATTTCACATGTAATCATTCTATT